AATAGTAATATTAATATTAATAAAAAGCCTGTGTGCATGTATCAGTGCATTTTCTATTGGCTGAAGTTACCTGTTCCTCATAGAACAAGCACCTATTTTTCTGATTGGTTCGCAATGGAATCTCATAACTGCATAAAACTGTCTTTAATTCTCTCTCATGACTGAATAAATGTAGCTTTTGAAAGTATATGTGGAAAAGTTGAATAACCTGCAGACATTTACTGTGATCTTGGGGTGTAATCCTGCACACACTTACTTCTGGTCAAAGACCCATTGAATTCAGTTGGACATACCTCCCAAATAAGCATGCATTTAGGATTGAACTACTGGGTCATTTTATTCACATAATTATAATAGCTAACGGTATATTATTCCTTTAACATGGAAATGTCCTTAACATTTCGTTGTAGGATTATTTACTACCAGTCCCGTAATTAGATTTTGAGTCCTTTAGGACGTTATGAACTAGTCTCCATGCTAATGTCAAATTATGAAAATAGGAGAGCTCCACATGAGCAAAGCTTTTTCTTTCTTTTTTTAAAAAAGCCTTAAATAGATATTTTATATAATGTTCCTTTTCCATCAACAATCTGTGATCATTTGTGGTGTGCTTTTCTCTCCCACAGGAATCGACCTCTCAGAATGCTTGCAATATCCAGACTTCAGTGTTGTCGTCCTTTACAAAAAGGTCATTGTTGCGTTTGGTTTTATGGTACCAGATGTTAAATACAATGAAGCATACATCTCTTTTCTGTTTGTTCACCCTGAATGGAGAAGATCAGGAATTGCAACCTTTATGATCTATCATCTTATTCAGGTAGTTTTATGATTTATTATCTTGAAAAGTATGATCTGTACCTTTTACTTTAAAAACCAGTGCAAACAGGGCAGGTTTACCCAAGAAGATTTATATCCCTTTGATGACCTACTCGTTGTTCAGTTGTCACATCTATGTTGTGCAGATCAGTGGTGTGGCGTAGCATGGGGGGCTCCAGGGGCAATTGCCCCGGGTGCAAAATTCTTAAGGGCGCAGCCCATCTTATACCAATGGGCTGCAGTGGTCCCGAAGGAGCTGCAAAACTAGGAGGGGGCTCCCTTCTCTAGCCTGGCAATGGGTGCGGCACGAACTTTTCCTTGGTGGTTGGGTGGGCTGTGAGTGGGGAGTGGGTAGCTGGTCAGGCCTTCCTGTGCCAGGGCAGAACCCCCTCTTGCTCCCTGCCCCCTTTGGTGCCTTGGGTTCGTATCCTTAGCTTGCAGGTGTTGTGCACAACACGCTTCTTATGCCATGGGTGGTGCCAACAGTTGTGCATGCCGGGTCGCTGCTGTGCTGGGTGGTCCCCTCATCTCCCTTCTGCCCTGGGGCCACTGCAGAGCCCCCCAGCCCTTGTAAGGGAGCAGGCAGCCGTAGGCACGGCAGGTGCCGTTGGAGTGCCTGGTGTGAACGAAGAGGCAACCATGTGAGCCTTGGCTGGCAGCATGCTGGCTCCTTGGCTGGACTGGTGGAGCTTTCTGTGGGTGTGCTACGAGCAGCTGGAGCAAGGTGAGGTGCGGTGCCAGAGGGGCTCCAGTTGTGAGGTTGGAGTCCACGTCCAGCACCTCCCAGGAGAGCTCAGATCTCGGAGGTTGCACAAAAAAGGGGGAGGACCCAGGATGACGTGCTAGCCCCCTTCCCCATGGTGATGCTGCCACTCCTTTTGCACCTTGGCCCAGGCAACCCACGCTACGCCACTGGTGCAGATTCATTAAGGATGGGAGAACACCCTTGTAAAATTTGTGGCTTGCCTTTGGGATTCAGGTAGATGCCTAGTCGGTCCAATAGCAGCACAACCCTAAATTCCTAAAGGCAGTTTTGGCCAGCATGGAACAAACTATCTACTTTTTTATGTGTTGTCTTGAGTTCTGTAGCTTTCATATCCAGACTGAATGACTTCACAAGCTCCTCATCACAAAACCTGTTAGTTCATTGACCAAATTTATTATTTGCAAGTAATGAGATACTTCCACTTTCCACCACTCTTCCAGCTCTTCTTTCTGGTACCTTTCTTAATTTATTCAGTGAAATTAAGGCTAGGTCAGTGCTGCTGTAACTTTGCATCTTCTGAAGGTTGCTACTTCTTGTAATTTACCAGTTCTAAGTACTGGATGACTGAGGTCCTTATCAAGCAGAATTGAAGGACAGTCAAACTTGGAAGCTATCAATTCTGAAAATTTAGTACAGTGGTGCCCCGCAAGACGAACGCCTCGCAAGACAGAAAACCCGCTAGACGAAAGGGTTTTCCGTTTTGGAGGCGCTTCGCAAAACGAATTTCCCTATGGGCTTCCTTCGCAAGACGACAGCCCATAGGGAAATCTCCGGGACAGCGGGGAAGTGCAGCGCGTCTTCCCCACTGTCCTCGGACCTCCTCCGAAGGCTGGCGGCGGGCGGAGAGACCTCCTCCCGCCGCCAGCCTTCGTTTCTCCGCTATCCCGGACGGCTTTTGAAGGCAGGCGGGGGGGGGGGGAGCAAAGACTTTTGCCCCCCGCTGGCCTTCAGAAGAGGTCCAGGACCTCTTCTGAAGGCCGGCGGGGGGGCAAATGTCTTTGCTCCCCCCTGCCTGCCTTCCCGGGAGAGCGGAGAAACGCAGTCGTGTTTCTCCGCTGTCCCGGACGGCTTTTGAAGGCAGGCGGGGGGAGCATAGACTTTCGCCCCCCGCCCGCCTTCAGAAGAGGTCCTGGACCTCTTCTGAAGGCCGGCGGGGGACGAAAGTCTTTGCTCCCCCCTGCCTGCCTTCCCGGGAGAGCGGAGAAACGCAGCGTGTTTCTCCGCTGTCCCGGACGGCTTTTGAAGGCAGGCGGGGGGGAGCAAAGACTTGCGCACCCCGCCCGCCTTCAGAAGAGGTCCTGGACCTCTTCTGAAGGCCGGCGGGGGGCAAAAGTCTTTGTTCCCCCCTGCCTGCCTTCCCGGGGGCTTTTAAATCGCCCTGGGACAGCGGAGAAGTCCCCCGCTGTCCCGGGGCTTTTTAAAATGCTGGCGGGCGGCAGCGGAGGCTTCGCTCCCGCCCGCCAGCATTTTAAGATCGCCCCGGACAGCGGAGAAGTCCCCCGCTGTCCCGGGGTTTTTTAAAATGCTGGGGGTGGGAAGAAAAGCCCTTGGTCCCCCACCCAGCCTTCAGAAGAGGTCGGGGGACAGACTGTCCCCGGACCTGGTCTGAAGTCGGTTTCCATAGGAGCGCATTAATTGATTTTCAATGCATTCCTATGGGAAACCGTGCTTCGCAAGACGGAAAAATCGCAAGACGACAAAACTTGTGGAACGAATTAATTTCGTCTTGCGAGGCACCACTGTATCCTGAATTCAGTTCCCCAAGAGAAACTGGTATAAGATGTAACCTGTGCTTTACTATATCATCTGTTATCCATCTATGATGTATATTAATGCATGATACTTCTGTCTGCTTTTAGTATCTCTTCCTCCTTGAAAGTTGTCTTGCTTTGACTGCACAGTGCTCCCATAATTAGTTATCTCCTCATTTCCTTCCTCACATGTAATACAACTCTTTTTTCTTTTCACAGACTTGTATGGGCAAAGATGCAACCCTTCATGTATCTGCAAGTAATTCTGCAATGCTGCTGTACCAGAAGTTTGGATTTAAAACTGAGGAGTACATTTTAGATTTCTATGACAAATACTACCCTTTGGACAGTAAGGAATGCAAACATGCGTTCTTTCTGAGGTTGCGGCGATGATACTGCAAGGGAAATCTGGTCACTACAATAAAATACAGTTTAGCGCTTTTACTGAGGTGCTTTGTTGCCTTTATTGCTATCAAGTTATTTGTCTGTGGTCTTTACTGAGATTAGTATATATATTTTTTTACTACAATAGAGTCTGTCTGGCCAAGACAGAAATACAAAAACTTCCTTTTTCTGTAAGAATGGAAGTGGTCGCCCTGTTCTTCATGAAGAACCCTTTTGACAAACCAGTTGATGTTTCCCAACGAGTACTCATACTGAATGAAGATACAAATGTTCAAACTATTCTTTGCAGAAAGCAATAAAATGTTTGATTCTATCTCTCTAGACATGACATTTATTAGGTGGAAAAATCTAACCCAGGCTTCCTCAGTCTCGACCCTTGATCCCTTGGTAGCAGGACCAGTGGTCAGGGATGATGGGAATTGTAGTCTCAAAACATCTGGAGGGCCGAGGTTGAGGAAGCCTGATCTAACCTGTCAAAATTCAGATTGGCTATATACGTAATAAAAAGGCTGTGTAAATTCTTAGGGACTCACATAATGCCATGAAATTTATAGGATCCCTAATGTAGTAATTCAATACTAATAAAGTGTTATGAGGTGTGCAGTTAGCACATGTGGCCCTGTCACCCCTTTTGAGGATATTTTGGCAATGAGACCTGAAGGTGCTCTACACTTTAACACTCCAAGGGTTAACAAAGAGAACCAAGAGAAATCAAATGCAATTTTATTGTATCCAAAAGAGAATTAGCATACATGCTACAGATGCTAAATGTTGCGGGTATGCATCCAATTATTATATTGATATAGACCATTATCAAGGATTTGTCTAGTACAGTGTTAATTCTCATTTGCATTTCCTCCTGGAAGTAAGTAGGTTAGGCCTGCCTGTGGCCATTCACATCTCCTGCAGTCATCCATAAATTTGATGATGTTCAGGTGAGCAAGGCATGCTGGCATCAAACATGTTCAAGGTGACCTCAGTCTGATGTCATGGTTTGTTGGTTTAATCATGCTACTTAGGGATTTTGTCTGTTGTGGAGGTGTTTTGTTAGAAACTTTATTTTTCCAAAGGCAAGGCAAAACGACTTGCAACCACCACCCCCGGCACATTGATACCTTAAAAGCAATCGGGGGGGGGGATACATTAAAAGCATCCTGCCCGATTCTAAAAGGCCACAGATAGTTATACAAGACCAAAGGCCTGGTTATAGAGGAAAGGTTTTGCCTGGTGCCTAAATATATGCAATGAAGGAACCAGGTGAGCTTCCCTGGGGAGAGCATTCCACAAACGAAGCTGCCATAGAAAAGGCCCATTCTAATGTTGCCACCCTCTGAACCTCTTGTGGAGGGGGCACGTAAGGAAGGGCTGCAGATGATGATCGCAGGGTCCAGGTCGGTTCATATGGGGAGAGGCGGTCCTTGAGGTATTGCGGCCCTGAGCCGTTAGGCGGACTCTGCCTGTGTTGTGGAAGTTTTGTCTAACATCCTCTTTCCTAGCTTTCTAGCAAACAATGAAACTATTTTGTCAATGCCACTCTTCAGTGCCAAATCACAGGCTGACAGCCCTCTGGAATTCTTCTTCTTAATGTTTGCATTACATCTGTGAAAAAAAGACCTTTTATCAGGGATACCTCTACCCAATGCAACTGCCTTTCTCTCGCTTGCCGGAAGGAGGGCTTAGATTGTTGTGCCAGGAAAATGAAGTCACGATTCTTGTTTCAAACAATGTCAATAGCTCTTACTGCTGTCAGCAGTTATAACAAAACTACATAAAAATGTGTTAATACTAGGGTTGCTCCCGGGCAACAAAATTAACTTTGGAGCCTCATTTGCTGTTTCAGAAAACAACATGCCATGGTGTGAAGCGAGGCCCATTGATTCGACTCATGGTCCAAGGCAGCATCCTCTTCAGGAAAAATGAGGGTTTGTTCCCTCCCACTTCTTGCCACTGGGAAGTCAAAACTAGTTATACTTCTTTTCACAGCCAGCAGAGTTTCCCCCATCCTGGAGTAAACAATGCCTACCAAATTACAGTGAAATAAGGGGTTTTGTGGGTGTGGGTTGGCGTGATTGTTTTTTAAATTAAACTTTAAAAGCTCTCCAGCAGAAAGTAAAAGCGTCTTTTTATTTTTAGGAAGAATTTCATTAAATCTGCAGGTATCATAGGTCAGCAAACTTTTTCAGCAGGGGGCCGATCCACTGTCCCTCAGACCTTGTGGGGGGTCAGACTGTATTTTGTAAAACAATAATAATGAACCAATTCCTATGTCCCACAAATAACCCAGAGATGCATTTTAAATAAAAGCACACATTCTACTCATGTAAAAAACACGCTGATTCCTGGACCATCTGTGGGCCAGATTTAGAAGGCGATTGGGCCACATCCGGCCCCTGGGCCTTAGTTTGCCTACCCATGTCATAGACCCATCCCAAGAGATGAATCCTGCCAAATTTCAGAAGGATAACTGCAGTGCTTTCCCCACATGGGCAACTTTTAGAGTTGGGGGGTGGGGTAGGTAACAAAAGGGAAAAAATAATCTTCACTACTATTTTGAGTGCAATTGGCCTAAAAACAATATACATTAAAGTGGTGTCCGTAGCATGCATGCTTCCTAATTTCAGACAAACTGGCCCAGCACTTGCATTCTAGGTGCCTTTAAATGGGGAGGTGGGATAGGGAGAAAAAACTTAAAGGGATTAGTTTCCTACCAGTAGTTTTGTTTGTGGGCACTGATTCAATGGTGTTGGGTGGTACTGGACACAGAGCAGCAAGATTTGAGGGGGCGGCTGGTCTAGGTGTTGGAAACTTTCATTTCCTGGACCATACTTCCTCCTCTCCAGTCACCTGCCCAAACTGCTCCTACTTCTTGGGCAGAGAGTGAGTGGGGGCTTCTCTTTTCCTCTGTTTGGATACCTCTTTCATGCCTGACATCTCTGCCTCTGCCTCTTACCTAAGCAAGAGGAACTAGTACCGTATGTGCAGGTGTAGAAGAAGAGTTTGGATTTGATATCCTGTTTTTTCACTACCAGAAGGAGTCTCAAAGCGGCTAACAATCTTCTTTCCCTTCCTCCCCCACAACAAACACTCTGTGAGGTGAGTGAGGCTGAGAGACTTCAGAGAAGTGTGACTGGCCCAAGGTCACCCAGCAGCTGCATGTGGAGGAGCGGAGATGTGAACCTAGTTCACCAGATTACGAGATGTATCTGTTAGAAGAACGAGTCCGAGTTACTAGAACTAACATGGCAGGGGGAACTAACATGGCAGGGTCCCTTAATCCAATGATACAATGTCGACTCTACAGTGGTACCTCTGGATACGAACGGGATCCGTTCCGGAGCCCTGTTCGCATCCTGAAGTAAACGTAAGACGCGACTCCGCGTCTGTGCGTGCCGCGTTTTACCGCTTCCGCGCATGAAGTCATTTTGAGCGTCTGCACATGCGGCGAAACCCGGAAGTAACACACTCCATTACTTCCGGGTTGCTGTGGAGCGCTACCCGAAAATACTCATCCCAAAGCTACTTCAACCCGAGGTATGACTGTACTTATCCTGAGAAGAAGTAGGTGCTGGATGCACTCAGCACCCCCTTTTAAGCCAAGGTTTTTCCATACTTACCCTACCAATGCATCCATGCATTCCCATCCTTCCAATCCAAGCAAGACGGCTTCATGTAGAGCTGTATTGTTAAGCCTGTGTGAAAGTAGAGCGAGGAAAGGGGACAAGGCGTAAGAAACCTAGGCTGTCAACTGTAAAGTACTGCATACCCTAGAAGTTCATTCCCGCCCCCAGTCAGATGGCTTGGAACTGACATTTTGATCGTCCCATGTCCCAGCTGCAGCATTCAGTGTGATTGTGCAGCTTCCATACAAAATACACATTTCCATGTGAGATTAAATGTTTAAAAGGGGGTGGGGGAGGATAACTGCATTGGGAGAACGGCTGCACATTGGCATGGTATATTTCAAACAACCTGTTGACTGCTTCAGGCAAGCCGTGTGAACTATATAGGCATGTAAAAATGCCATTTAGATTTCCTCCTAGTATTCAGAGTTACTTCACCAAACCTTTATCAGGTATTACAAATATAGGCCACCATAAAACATCCATATATAAAATTTTAAAATATATACAAATAAACAGCCATGTAAAAATATGTAACGACAAAGATTGTCATTGGAGTTTCTTCCCGCTAAAAAGTATTCAGAGTTCATTCTGTATGTTAACAGCTTCCATTTCCAAATGCACATAAACAATCAGACCAGTTAATCAGAATGAAGAAGGCTGACGTACGGTCTTGACTGATGGTCCACGTTGGCACCTTTCTGCACGAGAATGGGAATAACTTCATGATGCCTATTCAGCACAGCCAGCGTTAAAGCAGGTTGGTCCTCGCTGTTGGTGCAGTTGGGGTCAGCTCCCTGGAGTGTGTGGGGAAAGTAGAGAATCAAACATACCTCCCTTCCTTCCCTCTTTTAAAGTACTGCACATTACACATTGCTCAAATGGTATTTGAATTACAGGAAGATCTGGTTAATGTTAAGTAAAATTACAACTGTTAGAATATATATACTAGGGTTGCCATATTTTTTAAAAGTTGACCTTTTTTTTGCAAGATCTCAAAAAAAGAGAGAACTTTTTGAGCTACTTTTAAGGAAATTTGCAAAATCTACGCTTCCAACAGGGATTTCCGGACATTTAAGCAATTTCTGCCCAGACACTGTTTTTGATGGCTGAATCCTGGCAATGTGGTTCACATATCCACACACGTTTACTAAACTGGAGGAAAAGAGGATTGTGCATAATAAGTGGTGGCTATAAAAGCAGGATTTGCTGACGATTCACACGCAGGAAGCGGGGAGAAGAACAAGGCCTAGCTCACCAGCTCTCATCCCACATCCCCTTTACCACATGCAAATACTGTAATTTACAGTAGTGCCCCGCAAGACGAACGCCTCGCAAGACAAAAAACTCGCTAGACGAAAGGTTTTTTCGTCCGCGATTTGCCTCGCAAGACGAATTCCCCTATGGGCTTGCTTCGCAAAACGAAGCTTGCCCCGGGGACAGCGGGTCTTCTCTTTTGAAGCAAGGGGCTGCGGGGAGATAGCGATCTCCCTGCAGCCCCTTGCTGCAAAAGACGTCGGGGGAAGCGGGGAAGCGAAGCGCTTCGCTTCCCCGCTTCCCCCGGACCTCTTCTGAAGCAAGGGGATGGGGGGAGATAGCGATCTCCCTGCAGCCCCTTGCTGCAAAAGACGTCGGGGGAAGCGGGGAAGCGAAGCGCTTCGCTTCCCCGCTTCCCCCGGACCTCTTCTGAAGCAAGGGGCTGGGGGGAGATAGCGATCTCCCTGCAGCCCCTTGCTGCAAAAGACGTCGGGGGAAGCGGGGAAGCGAAGCGCTTCGCTTCCCGCTTCCCCCGGACCTCTTCTGAAGCAAGGGGCTGGGGGGAGATAGCGATCTCCCCCCAGCCCCTTGCTTCAGAAGAGGTCCGGGGGAAGCGGGAAGCGAAGCGCTTCGCTTCCCCGCTTCCCCCTGACGTCTTTTGCAGCTGTTCCGAAGTGGGGCGGGGGGGCGGGGTCACCTGCCCCAGCCGCCCCACTTCGGAAAGCTGTTCCGAAGCGGGGAGGGGGGGCGGGGACATCTGCCCCAGCCGCCCCACTTCGGAAAGCTGTTCCAGGAACAGCTCCATAGGAACCTCCATAGGCGCCCGTCACCTCTCCAGCCAGGAGAGCGCGCGCGGGGCTAAACCAGCCCCCCGCGACCCTCTCCCAGCTGGAGAAGTGACGCGCGCCTATGGCAGGAGCCTCCATAGGCGCCCGTCACCTCTCCAGCCAGGAGAGCGCGCGCGGGGCTAAACCAGCCCCCCGCGACCCTCTCCCAGCTGGAGTTGTGACGCGCGCATATGGCAGGAACCTCCATAGGCGCCCGTCACCTCTCCAGCCGGGAGAGCGCGCGCGGGGCTAAAGAAACCATAGCCCCGCGACCCTCTCCCAGCTGGAGAAGTGACGCGTGACTATGGCAGCAGCCTCTGAAGGATGCACCGAAGCCTGGCGTGGGGGGGGGGCGGAGAGACCTTCTCCCCGCGCCAGCCTTCGGATGGCTGTCCTGAAGACTTGGGGTGGGAGAAGGGTTTTCCTTCCCACCGCCAACATTCAGAATGCTGTTCTGAATGTTGGCGGTGGGGAGGAAAAACCCTCCTCCCACGCAAGCCCCGGGAACAGAGGGAAAGCGCTGCGCGCCTTCCCCTCTGTTCCCGTACCTGTGCTGAAGGCTTGCGGTGGGGAGAAAAGCCCTTCTCCGCACCGCCAGCCTGGCAAGCGGTTTCCCTAGGAACGCATTAATTGATTTTCAATGCATTCCTATGGGAAACCGTGCTTCGCAAGACGAAAAATTCGCTAGACGACAAAAATTGCGGAACGAATTAATTTCGTCTTGCGGGGCACCACTGTATCTGAACTGCTTGACTAACATATGCCAGGGAAACTTGTACCTACAGAGGAAGAACTCTAAGTGGATCACCTATTCAAGCTTATACCTGTTAAGTGAGTAGCATAAAGAACAATGTATCAACAATTTAGGTACCTTTATGGTATACAGTGGTACCTCTGGATACAAACGGGATCTGTTCTAGATCCCTGTTCGCATCCTGAAGCGCATGCGCGTGACATCATTTTGACCGTCTGCGCATGCGGCGAAACCCAGAAGTAATGTGCAACCCGAAAGCACTGAACCTGAAGCATATTTAACCCGAGGTATGACTGTACATCTACTGGATAGTTTGATTTTCTTTTGTGGAAATATTATTAAAGAAAAGAAACAAATGTATTCCTAATAGTTGAACAGAATGCCACACTACTGAAACTTGCCTCGTCAATCAGTTGTTCTACTACGAAAGGTCGCCCTTGGCCTTTTGGACCCACTTCCTTCAGCAACTGCCTAGATTCAGTCTAGAAAAATGCAGAAACAAAACAGCCAATGTAGAATTATCTACAGGATGCTTTTAAAAAAACACAAACTCAATGGTATGCAGCCTGCATATATGTTTGTTAAAAACAGCCATTTCTAGGCAACGGAGATGCAATCCTACAGCCAGGAAGCTGCCTGCTGAGTGGCATCAGGAACCTGCAGGTGTGTCATTCAGCTCCTGGAGAGGGTGTTCCATGTGCAAGAGGTGCCTGTCTACACCACCACCCTGGGCTACTGGCAGAAATGCTCTATTTCAAAGAATACCACACTGACCAAACAATGGCTGAGTGCCTGTGAAAGCAACATGCCACGGATGGGTCGTGGGCATGGCTGGTGCCTGCCACACCCTAAGCTCCATCAGTTACTCCATCCCTGAGGGCACAAAGTCTCATCTTGTCAAAGGCCAATATAAGTAATTGTCCTCCCACAGAGATCAATGGAAAAAAACTGCTCCCCACCTGCCAGACCGACCACTGAATAAGGGAGCTCAGGGTGTAGTTACTGCATGCCCCCCCATCAGTATATAAACCCTCTTCAAGGTGACCTCAACCCCAAGTCAGGTGACAGGGCATGCAGAATGGAGCTATACATTGATTGCTTGCTGGTAAGGTCAGTTCTGAATAAGATGGGTTTGTGGTGCCATAAGTCAACCACACAAATCATCCCCTTGAACTCCTTTCAGTCAAAAGGAAAACGATGAGCTCATTGGAGCAAATCAGCATTGCTCCTAACAGAGAGGTGAGACATCCCACTGAAAATCACCATTTGCTACATATTGGAGAGCCACCGGCCCCAGTTTCAGAACAGATTTGTTTCGCTTTGGAAGGCATCTTTCCCCAGAGCCATGGTGCCAAGAGTGTGCATATGACCTTGAGGGAAGCCCTGTTCAGAAGTAACATCTGCAGGCACAATAACAGTGAGGAAAAGGGCCAAGGCACATGGCACTCTTGGGTTTGCGGCGCTCATCTCGCTTTATTGACCGAGGGAGCCAGCGTACAGCTTCCGGGTCATGTGGCCAGCATGACTAAGCCGCTTCTGGCGAACCAGAGCAGCGCACGGAAACGCCGTTTACCTTCCCGCTGGAGTGGTACCTATTTATCTACTTGCACTTTGACGTGCTTTCAAACTGCTAGGTTGGCAGGAGCAGGGACCGAGCAACGGGAGCTCACCCTGTGGCGGGGATTCAAACCGCCAACCTTCTGATCGGCAAGTCCTAGGCTCTGTGGTTTAATCCACAGCGCCACTTGCGTCCCTCTAAGTATGCAAATTCCAAGGATTTGTATAAACAGTTCCGTTTGCACGAACAAAAGTGAGGTTGGAAATGAGTGCACGGCAGGCCAGCTGATGACACACTTGTGACAGGATGGAAGTGTGACCCAATAGGTCTTGTCCAATATTTCCGCCACCCACCCACTTTGGGGCCAAGGCCAAAGATATACTGCATGGCCTTAACCAGGCATTCACCTGCTCTACATGCTCTCCCTGTGGGATTGCTCTGGCTACCAAGACAAAAAAGGAAATGCCCTGCTCAGAGCAGAAGTAGGAGGGAGGAAAAACGCAATGGAAGTAATAATATTTGCTGTGCTTTTCTCACCTCAATTAGTACTTTCCAGAAAAGATTCATTTTTAAAACCAGCTTGGTAGTAACACTGCTTATGTTGCAGCATCCCTACAGAGGTGTTAACCGCCATACTAAGAGCAGATACATACAGTGAGCTTGTCTTCTTTTTCTAGACATGTCCCTGTTTTCATCATCCTTTTGACTTTCTCACTGGGGCTTGGCACTCTTTGACTCTCTTCTCGGGCTAAAATAGAGAAAGATACAATGATATTCAAGTGATGTCCATAGTTTAGCAAAATAACATAGGAGCCCCACCTAACAGCAGCATGAGCTATTAACTAAAGTTTTTTGTTTATTGCAATATTCTTAACAAATCCTGCAGTCTTCTCCCCCAAGAATATGTTCCGGTATTTCCACTGAGATGCCTGGTACGTTTTTCTTCTTTTTAAAGATGTATGGCTTTCTGACTTTGCTGCTGATCAGATTCTCTTTTTCAGGTCAGTGAATACCTGAAGCTCTTGATGGAAGCGCCTTTCCCCTCCACACGAAGAAATCTAGGCAAGAGGTGTGTGTGCCTCCTCTTTTGGCTCTCGGTCTGTAGCTCACAGCCTGAGATATAGCAGCAGGCTACATTTCCACTATCAAAGAGACCAGCATCTGAGATGGAAGCATCAGGCATCAGGTGAATTACAAGGCAAAGCCCCATGGGGTCATTGTGTTGAGTTGCTATAACTGATAGCCAAAGGCCTGGGAGAAGATGAATGTTTTTGCCTGGCGCTTAAAGATATGCGACGAAGGCATTGGGCCAGCCTCCCTTGTTCCTTAAGCAGGGAGCCACTGCAAAAAATGCCCATTCTGCTGCCGCGCTCTTGACATGCCTTGAGACTCATCTGCTGTAATAACGGAGTCAGGATCCCGGTGGATGCAAGCGATTTTGTCCTCAAAATGCTTTGCAAACAAGTCACAGTGAGCTACCATTGGTTCCACCACCTCCTTCGGGCCAGACTCACACTACCTGGAAAAGCTCTGTTGGAGAGCACAACAAGGATGCAATGGAGGCAGCCAAGTAAGCCACCTTTGCTGCCTTCTCTCTTTTTTTTTAAATAAATTTTTATTAAGTTTTCTTTTACAAATAAATCCGTACAACCATGTTTACAAATTTGTTGTTTTTTGGACTTCCACCAGCACCTCCCTCAATCATCCATTTTCCTTATCTTCCCGCATTTTCTATATAATATTGCCGATTTAATATTAACCTTCCATCTCTATTTCTTTTTTACAATATACCTTGTACTATCACAAAGCCTCCTTAAAACCCACTAGCGTTGTCTGTTCATCACATATAGTTTTCAGATAATCCGTGAACTTTCCCCAGTCCTCGATGAATTTGTGATCTTTTTGGTATCTGATTTTCCCAGTCATTTTGTCCAGTTCTGCATAGTCCATAAGTTTCGTTCTCCACTCATTCAAAGTCGGTAGTTCGCCTTCTCTGCCACTAGGTAGGTTCCAGGATGAGCCCTCACAAGTGTTTGATTGCATTCAACTGGAGTTTTTCTCCATTTGTGTTTGAGCTGTCTCCCAGCTTCTTTCTTCACCCTAAGCTCTGGAGTATATCAGGAAGCCAAATCAGCTCCACAAAGCAGGAGAGGGAGCTCAGAGGGGATTGTGTCAATGGCTCAAACCATTTGGGTGTTCCAGAGGTTGGTGAGGGCTTCGACAGGAGCATCAGTCATATTAGCTGGAAAATCCCCCAGAGCCATCTGGAAACCCATCTGAGGGTGGACCATCCTCAAAGATCCCTGGCTCTGCAGAGTGCAAAGGTGCTGAGAGCAGTGAAGGGTCCTTGGGAATACCATGCACTTGGGATCTACTTTAAGGTTTAATTTTCAGATGTGTTAAGTGGTACATACTTTTCTGGGTACAAGTCACTGTTTTAAAATGTACAAAACAAGGATAGCATTTGAACCAAATCACACCAGAATGCTCACCCAGACCGGCTTGACTTTCATATAATCCAGCTCTTCCTGCTTTGCTGGGGCTCAGTTCATGATAGCCAAATGCCAGTGGTTTATTGGTCAAAATATCCTGGAGAAGCATAAACAGTATATTATATGACAACCTTTGCCATACCAACATAAACTATAATTCAACACGGTGGTTGTAAACTGTACTGCAAACTTTCTTGGTGAGAAGATCTGTTATGGCAGCTAAGCTTCTCTGAAAGTCAATCTGCACATCACTGCTTATCCTTCCCTATGATGTGTAGCTACAGCAGGTGTTGGGAATAATCTTAGGTGCAATTTGCATGTTGCATAAAAATTTAAATAACAGTTTAAACACAAACAATAGTTTAATTTGAATGAGCAACATGCTGGTGCACCCACTCAATGTTCTGCAACACACCTCAACAGTCTTGGCTTGTTGAGTTATCCAACCAGGGCTCATGGTTTGTTTCCTTTGAACAAAACCAAAAGTGGTAAGCCAAGAGCAAATCTTGGTTACAACTCATCGTGTGTAAGGAAGAAAACAGAATACAAGCCCACTCATGGCTACGAGGAAACAAACGAGCCTAGGTTCAGACTACATGACAAACCAGTCTCGGGTTTGTTTTATTCACAGCACAAGGGAAGAATGAACAAACTTTTGAGGAGCATCCACAAGTACAACACCTGCTCATATTAATCTGTGTGGACTAATCCTTAATCAAACTCTCAATTCAAGCATGACAACAATCAATGTATGGGTTGTTACTGGAAGCTATAAAAATAAAAAGAACCCTTGGAAGTAGATAAAACAAGTTATATGAATAGCAGTAGAATCCCTAAGACCACAAGACAACAGATTAGATATATATATAGATATATATATCTATATATGATATAGCTTAGATTTTTCTATTTTAAGTGAAAAAGACCAAGGAATAAAAAAGGATCAATGTCCAGATGGGCTAAGTGGAGAATTCTTCCAGGAATTTAATGGATTAATGGCACTTATACTGACCAAAACAATTCAGTGAAGTAATAGTAATGCAGAGTGCCTAATGTTGGGGAAAGTGCATATAGTGATTATACAGTAATCTGGGAACAATCCTGAAAAGCATGAACCATTGTAGACCTATCCCACTCCTGGATACAGACTATGATTTTGGTGGCAATATAAGCAGGAAGGATAAAGTGTTATTTTGGAAGAATATATAAAGGAAGATCAGATGGGCAATATATTAGAAAGCATATTTGTTAGGAGAATCTGCTTACCCAGACTGTATTAAGAATGTGTCAAGAATGTTTGTGTAGGAAAACCTCAGCCTCAGATTAGATAGAAAGTAGAAACTGATCCTCCACTGTCAGTCATCTAGCTCTGATAATACAGGCATGCTTTTTCTCTGAGAATGTGACCTCATTTCTGCACATGTGTAAAGCTAAGGAAAGGGAATAAGCCTGTCTAACATATAGTTACAAAAAAGGTGGGAGGATAGATAGAAAAAAACCACTTCTGGAGGGTCACCCCTAATGTAAAATGCTCTAAGGCAGCTGCACACAGATTCCTCAGTGTTGAAGAAAGATTTCCCTAAAGGTAGATATTTGGAATACCACTGGTTTAAAAGAGCTGCAATGAGCCTTGATTAGCCAAGTTGCGATTTACTAACTCCTGACTACCAATGATTCTCATTATAGCACCTTCTCATTTTTATCAGCTTTGATTTCCACACTGACCTTATTTATAGCAAGTGCATAATTTATCTGGAGACTGACTTGATAGCTGTCCTTGTGGACTGTAGCAGAAATAAGCTATAGAAGGAAAAAATGTGATTAAGTTTTCTTTTCTTCTTTTAAATAGAAAAAATGGCTATGATCCTTACACACACACACACACACACACACACACACGGACATATAATACTTTCAAAAAAGATTTTTCAAATCAGTGTACGATACAACTAGGTTACCCTATTTTTCGCCCTATAGGACGCAGTTTTTCCCCTCCAAAAATGAAGGGAAAATCTGTTTGTGTCCTATGGGGCGAATGCAGGCTTTTGCTGAAGCGTGGAGAGCGAGAGGGGTTGGTGCGCACCGACCCCTCTCACTCTCCAGGCTTCAGGAAGCTATCCGCAAGCCTAGGGAGCCCGCGGGAGTTCGCATGGGGCGCGCCGAAGCAGAGCACCCCGCGCTTTGGGCAGATATCCGCGGCTGGGGGGGGGGATAAAAATTTTTCCCTTTATTTTCCCCCCAAAAAACTAGGTGCGTCCTATGGGCCGGTGCGTCCTATAGGGCGAAAAATACGGTATATAGAAAAACAGTTAAAATCTTAGTTGAAAAGAAAAGCGGAATAGCAGTAAGAAAAATAAATCAGCAGTACAAAGCATTTTGAGATGAGCCTTGACCAGTTGGCAAGAAGATACCAAGGAGGGGACCCAAACACCACCTGCAGAAAGTATTCCACAATGTCAGAGTTGTAATGGAAAAGGCCCTGCTTCTTGCAGAGGCTACTGTGGTCTCAACACAAGATGGAATCTGAAGGGCTCTACTTCTAGTTCTTTTTAATGTGGAGGTTCAAATGGCTGACAGGCAGGGAAGAAAAGGGTACTTCAAAGAACTTATCAGGACCTGGTCATTTTTGGTTTGGAAGGTCAAAACCAGCACCTTGTATTGGGTGCAGAAACTGGTTGCCCAAAATAGGTGATATATGATTATGCTGACTCAAGCCCACCAAGAGGCAAGCAGGAACATTTTGCACCTGCCAAAGTTCCTGACCTATTTTAAAAAACAGCTCCAAGTGGAGTGCACTGCAGTAATATCCTCTGGTTAAACCAAGGTATCTAGGGTCTATCTTTCAGTAGCAGTTCAGTTGTTGAATCAGCCAGACCTAAAACCAAGGCACCCAGAAGCAACACCAGGCTCAGTCGTATGTTCTAATGGCAAACCCAACCCCCACACGAGAATGGAGAGTGTGATCCCATCCAAAACAGGCATGACCCCGGCCAAGTGGACCACTGAGCCCCCCATTACCATCAATCCTTTTATCATTAACTCTTACAACTGGCTTGATTATTAACCTTCTCCATCTCAAGGTCTCCCTGATCATTTTGATCAGGGAGATGACAGCATGCTCCCAATACTAACATACTCTTGGGGCCCAGTATTATCACCCACAGTGATTCTGTGGACGAGTCTGCCTCTTTGGGGATTTCTAGCTTGCTGGACTCAATGCTCTCTTTGGCACACACAGAGAGACACCACCTCCGATACGTCCTTCCCATGAAGTGGATACCCAGAGACAAAACTGTGCCCCACTGGTTCTTCCCATTCCATCAGGTTTCCATTATGTCCCATCTAGGCTTGGAGGCTTCTAGCATTAGTGTATAAACATTTGTAAACGGTCTCTCTCTTCAAGCATCTTTTGCACCTCCAGAGTTTGGCCTCTCTTCAGTCTGATGAAAAGAATACTACATAACGCAGACTGCTTGAGTCAGCAAGAGACTTAAAACTGGCCAGCTAATTTATAAAACTGAAGACTCATGGAATTTATAAATCTATGATAAAGCAAAATAAAATATTGCCAGAGAAAAGGATATCCATCCTAACATCAACCTCCTCATTCTCACTGAGAAAGTGATATAAAACAAATCCAGATACTAACTTCTGTCACCAGTTGCATGGAAAAAGGACTGTCTCCCTTCTTCTCAGCAAGCCTCTTTTTTTTTTTTTTAAAGCCAAGAGTCATCTCACCTTTTGCCTTAAATCACTACCCTAATTCCCTTTATGCATCGGCATCACAGGAGAAAGATTAGAGCCATAAAAGGTCCCTTCTTTCTCTTAAAGGTAAAGGTAAAGGTACCCTTGCCCGTACGGGCCAGTCTTGACAGACTCTAGGGTTATGCGCTCATCTCACTCTATAGGCCGGGAGCCAGCGCTGTCCGCAGACACTTCCGGGTCACGTGGCCAGCGTGACAAGCTGCATCTGGCGAGCCAGAGCCGCACACGGAAACACCATTTACCTTCCCGCTGGTAAGTGGTCCCTATTTATCTACTTGCACCCGGAGGTGCTTTCGAACTGCTAGGTTGGCAGGCGCTGGGACCGAACGGCGGGAGCGCACCCCGCCGCGGGGATTCGAACCGCCGACCTGACGATCGGCAAGTCCTAGGCGCTGAGGTTTTACCCACAGCGCCACACGCGTCCCCCTTCTTTCTCTTACCTTCCCCATTTGAGGCTCTCCAATCAAAGTCCTGAACTCCAGATTGTTTTGCGTATAACTTCTGAGGTGTGCACAAACATGATCTAGTTGCTTCCTCCAGTAACCTGAATGAAGGAAAATAGACTGAACATATCACTGGTGTTACAGAGTAGCTCAAGAAAGAGGGTCCTTCTAGACTGGTGGCTCTTGCAGGTGATTTCTACAACATGTCATAAACACAACAGTGGTGGATCCATATTGGACCATCCACAAATCATTTCATTTTATTAGTTGTTCTGCGATGCTTCCCCAATGTTATTACACTATTGCTTGGGTGGGTGGGCAACAAAAATGAGACAAAGAAACAACAATATCTCAGCAGGAAGGCATGCACTGATTGGAAATGAAGCCGTATGACTGCCCTGAAACTTTTGCAGGCACAAACAGTATTGAAAGTGGGACTGCATATAATGGCCCTGATGAACACAAACAACAGAGAGGGGAATCCTGTCTCCATTTTCCAGGAACATATTGGGCCAGATCTCTCCTCCCCCCCCCCCAATTTCCCGAAGCAGCCAGATTGAAAACCTTGATGTTTGTTATTTATTTTATGTTTAAACATTTATTTTCCCTTCATTAAAAATATTTTCTCCAAAGTGGGTAACAAATCACCTTTAAAAATAAATAAATAGTGAATCCCCCAGAGGGTATGGTTAATTGGGCAGTATACGATAATTAAAATCCCCCAATCAAAATCAATCACATATCAAAAATACAGCAGAACATACCAGCATCAAAATCTAAGAACCTGCATAAAAAACTGAACCTACTACAAAAGGATAGCTGAAAGTTGCTGTAAGTGCGATGACTCAAGTTCTTCATCTGCAAAGGAGTCTAGGAGTAGGAGAAACCCAAGGGCTGTTTTATGAAGGATTCATTCTGAATAGCATCTTTTTACCTCTTCCAGGACTGATGGCTGTGAGCAGAGGTTTGTGATAATTTGTCTCATTCGATTTTTCCTTTTGGGAAAGGAGCTCACTTTCTTTCTTCTCTAGAAATTTGATGGATGGGTAGTACAAGCCAATGGTTTGAGTTCCTTGCTCTTTTTTCTCTAGTAAATTAGGTATTGATGGTGGCAATGAAATGACTGATTGCTGCCTGGTCTGTAAGCTGTTGCTCTGTTAAAGATAGGTTGTATTATAGGAAAAAGGCTGACACAGCTTATCAGATACACACATAAAATCCCACCAATATATTTTCCCTAAATAAATTAAAATGTTTTCTGAAGGAACTCTGACATTCTCTATCTGATCCAGTGGTCTGAACATACATTTACACTCACCATTTTGAGGGTTCAAAATGCAGGGGTGTCTCCTGCAGATACTGTCTCATCAGTATTGTACAGTGGTACTTCGGGTTAAGTACTTAATTCATTCCGGAGGTCTGTTCTTAACCTGAAACTGTTCTTAACCTGAAGCACCACTTTAGCTAATGGGGGCCACCTGTTGCCGCTGCACCGCCAGAGCACAATTTCTGTTCTCATCCTGAAGCAAAGTTCTTAACCTGAAGCACTATTTCTAGGTTAGCGGAGTCTGTAACCTGAAGTGTATGCAACCTGAAGCGTATGTAACCTGAGGTACCACTGTAGTCTAAATAGATGTGCATCATAAATGGCTTATATTTGTTCACTGTTATTTATTTCAGTCATAGGCTATAACAAAGTGCAATATACTGGCTTATTTTAAAGCAGACTCATTTTCATTTTCAGCCTAAGGCACATAGAAAATTCCTCTTCAGTCTTTATTACATGCTGGTCCCACTATCAGAACACTCATTCTCTGAAAACTTAGTTACCTGAATCCAAAAAAGTATATCCAAACCTTGCTACACAATTAGCTGATTCAGATATCTGAACAGCCAGAGTTTGCCCACTTTCTTACTTGTTTGGATTTTGCTGGTCAGCAGCAGCCTTTTCAGGCAGAAAGCCCCACTGAACCCAGTAGAACTTAGATATGTATAAAAAGGTAAAGGTACCCCTGCCCATACGGGCCAGTCGTGACCAACTCTGGGGTTGCGTGCCCATCTCGCTTCAGAGGCCGGGGGCCAGCGCTGTCCGAAGACACTTCCGGGTCACGTGGCCAGAGTGACGAAGCTGCTCTGGCGAGCCAGCACCAGTGCAGCACACGGAAACGCAGTTTACCTTCCCGCTATAAAGCGGTACCTATTTATCTACTTGCACTTAGGGGTGCTTTCGAACTGCTAGGTGGGCAGGAGCTGGGACCGAAAGACGGGAGCTCACCCCGTCGCGGGGATTCGAACCGCCGACCATGCGATCGGCAAGCCCTAGGCACTGAGGTTTTACCCACAGCGCCACCCGCGTCCCTAGATATGTATAGGATTGTGCAATTGTCTGCATGACTTCCCTTGAGCTACTGATAAGGGATACAATGCACTAGAAAGTGATTTGTAGGCACCCAAATGAAATGCAGTTCTGGGTACTAGCAGTCTTATTTATGCAGCAGACCTGGTTTTGATACTAAGGCTTTCATTCTATTATGCAAATTATACAGCAAGTAATCTGTAAAATATTTAATGGCATCCCACTTGAACCAGATGACTGAGAAACTTGTCAAGTGGTCCTGGGCCTCTCAGATTGCTTGTGTGTGATATTATTTTGTGCGGAAATTTCCTTACCATTTGCACTTCTGGAAATTGGATCCCACAGACCACACACTGCGTAATGCAAATTGGATTTCCTGCTCCACACACACAGTAGACTACTTTGCCCTTTGGATTATAGAACAAGCACATTTCAGTAAATGTAAGTGTCAAGCAATGTGGGAATATATCAGGTATTATGTTCTCACTGCTACAGCAGGACCCCCCACCCAAGAAACTGTTTCTACACAGAAATCTTTTATTTTTACATCAACTCTGAGCTACCTTTTGGCGGATGCTGCCTTGTTCTTGCAGCCGTGGAGTCATCAGAGCTTCACATACGATACATGTTGGTGAGTTCCTTGGCACCATAGTCTGGCATTTGTTGCACAATTCCATCTGTAGGAAAATAACAGACACATTTGTACCCATCTTCTTGCCAAACCAGGACAATAATCCCCAAACTTTGAAAGGGAAGAACCATCAACAGCAGCCAACCACACTCAAGACTTTACTGTTTCAGCATATCTATGAAAATACTAGGAAATTAATTCCTGGTGGTGTAGTGACAATGGTGGCAAGAACTGACACTGGTGGCAATGGAAACACTGGAGACCTGGTTGGAGCAAATCTGTGTGCCCACTAAGAAAAAGTTGAGATCTGCAAATCCTTTCTAACACTACTTCTTTATACAAGCTAGTGCAAACACTTAACATGCCTTTGACCCAACTAGCCACTTTCATTACCTGAGATCGAGGCATCCATGTGGCAGAATTAGACTTTTCTCCATCACTTGAGGTATTCAAGTAATTTTTCAACAGATGTGTTCCAATGATTTGTGAGGGCACAAATGATTTTTCTTCTGGCAAGCCTAAAATTACGCACACATTTCATTTCATTATTTTTCAATATCACACTTCAAAAGAATGTTAACCTTGACTAACTGTGTAAAACGCATCTAAAGCATGTTCTGGAATGAAATAAATTAGAAAAGAGTTAAATCAATGACAAATTCACACATAACAAAATACATACATGGAAATAATAACATATAGATGCTGCCCCATAGTTTAGACTATTGTTGTTTTAATCCCTATTTATATTATTATCTTGAAAGTCTGTTCAATGATTCAAAAAGTGTACTAGGCATATAATAAAGAACTGGTCCACTGGTGTTATTCCATATGGACCACGTTTGCACGCAATACAAAACGCAGAGGAGGCGGTTGTATGCTTTGCATAAGTATGCTAATCAGTTGTATATGGTAAACTGGTAGCCTAAAGCTTACTGACAACTGGAGTGATAAAGTTGCACAAGGTCAAATTTACAGAACTGCCAGTTTCACTGGTCATTTTGATACAAAATTAAAGTGGTAATATCCAAGAGAGTAACTTTGAGTACAGAAAAGAATGGGTTCAGGAAGTTATCCATAAAGCTCATGTGCTGCCAGTTCAAATTCTTTGAACCAGTGACCTTTTTGGAGTTCTCTCAATTCTGGATTTAACAATACAGTACCTTGTAATTCCAGTGCTACATCAGGCAAATGGAATCTGCTTTCAGCACTTGCTTCTTTCTTTCTTAGATTCAAATGAGACAATTCATCTTCCATCTCCTAAGAAAAAAGATTCTGATTTATAATCCCATATACATATTTTGGTCTGTTACACATGCTCTAACCATTCTGAAAGAACTCTTATCAGCCTGCTTTTGTAATAGGCCTTGTGGTAGGAATGAAGGAGGGAATTATGAATGGGGCAAGGTAGCAAGTGACAGGTTATGTCTGTATCTGTGGACACCCTACACATTGTTGTCCTCTACTGCTATCTAGAAACAACATAATCCCTGCATCTGTTAGCATAAATTGCTACAACATCTCATGCATGGAATGAAATGTTCCACTTAATCTTTGTATTATCTAGGTACACTCTACAATCCAGAGACATTTCAGGATTCCACCCATTTTTTATTTCAGAGCCATAATTTGATTAGGGATGGAGATAAACCAGAGGCCAAGACAAATGTACAGTTTACATTCAGCATGCCAGAATATTTCTTTTTTTCCTTTTCTTTTCCCTTTGGAGCCTTTCATCCAGAAATTCTCTTTGGAGTCTTGTTTCCCCTTTTCTCTATGCATTTCCTGGCCCCTGCTATTCCTGAAGCATATGAGCTCTTGGCTGATTCTCCCCCTTGGCTCCTTGCCCATTTCTTTGGTGTCCAAAAAGGGGCAATAATTCTCTCTCTTCTTGTATCTCCTATTTATTTTTCTAAGTCTTACTACAAACCCTTTCTCCCCCTTTCCACCTCATCTTCAACCATTAGTTGATCCCTCCATTGCAGGGGGCTGGACTACATCATCCTTGGGGTCCCTTCCATCTCCACAATTCTATGATACCCATGGCCATATGAGCCCGTTGGTGCTGCCAATACTAAGTTAAATGAACCAATGATTCTTATTTAATGTAAGGCAGCTTTCTATATTCCTTTGTAGGGAGACATGGGTGGCACTGTGGACTAAACCACTGAGGCTCCTGGGTTTGCCAATTGGGAGGTCGGTGGCTCGAATCCCTGCAACAAGGTGAGCTCCCGTTTCTCTGTCCCAACTTCTGCAAACCTAACAGTTTGAAAGCACACCAGTGCAAGTAGATAACTAGGTAACGCTGTGGCGGGAAGGTAAATGGTGTTTCCGTGCGCTCTGGTACTCGTCAGAAAGCTGTCTGTGGACAACGCTGGCTCCCTCGGCCTGAAGCAAGATGAGCGCCACACCCCAGTCACTTTTGACTGGAATTAACCCTCCAGAGGTCCTTCACCTTTTACCTATCTTCCTTTGTACATTATAACAGGCTTGCAAAACTTGTGACCCCTCCAATATGAATGGAGACCACCAGGTATGCATGAATAGGGGTTGGGGTGGAGGGAATAACTTCTGCAGATGCTCAATATCTCTCCCCTTTTTGTGACACCCCAGGCAGATAGGAAGAACATGGATTATTAAGCCACTGTTGTTCCATAAGTTGCAGCAGGAATGGAAGAAGCCTAATTTGACCATGAACTTGCTCCATGAGGGTTCTGATGACTTACTTGAATAGATGCTTCCCCTGCACAATCCTGAGCTACTTTGAGTTAGATCCAACTAACCCAGTGCACTGGCGGAAGCCAGTGGAAGAACTTATGCTGGTACAATGGGGCTTTCTCTCTCTCTTCTCCCACAAATCCACTCTGGAGGGTCAGGAGAACCCCCAGAACAGCACTTGAGAGAAGGAAAAGGGAGATTGTTCCATTTGGCAAACAAAAGTGGTCATGCTGATGGAACAACTGTGTTAGCGTGACACTGAATTCTACTTTTTGTTTCCAGTACCTCAATGTTTTCTGAAACACTCCTCATGGATCTCTCCAGCAACAAGAAGGGGAGTTTTTTTTAAAAAAAATTATGCTGCAAGACCTTCATATTTAACAGAATTAATGATGCATAACACTTTTCAGTAGATTTAACATTTTTATAACTTGCCTGACTGATGAGATCTTCCAGGAAATTCTCATTCTCATCTTCATCAGGTACATGTACGTTGGGAGTTACATATTCTACTATAAATACTTTTGTTACAACGGTACTCTCTCTGCCGTCTCTGTAAGTTAAGAATCAAGAAACTCTAGACCAGGCCTGCATAATTTGTGTCTCATATAAGGGATTCTCTTCTTTTTGCTGCCTCTGGTAAATGTATAAGAATTTGGCTTTGCGGGTCTCATGTTGTCTGTGTTCTAACACAGTAGGAAAATAATAGGTAAATAAGGATTAAATATGTTTCAACTTTATTACTTAATTAAAAAAATATATATCTTGCCTTTAAGTCCTCAAAGAGACTCCTCAATGCAGCTAACAATAATCAAAGTTAAACTAAACCAAAACCAATCCATAAAATAAACAATAACACAAAATAACATCCAACCAATATGTAACAGAAACAACAGTAGAAATTTCCACATGGAGATATACATTCTCGCATTGATGGAGGCTGGACTAGACCAGGCATCCCCAACCTTCGGCCCTCCAGATGTTTTGGACTACAATTCCCATCATCTCTGACCACTGGGCCTGTTATCTAGGGATCATGGGAGTTGTAGGCCAAAACATCTGGAGGGCCACAGGTTGGAGATGCCTGGACTAGACGATTCTCAGGGTTCCTTCCAGCTGTACAATTCTACAGTTCTGTGATTCTATGCTTCAATCTCATGAAATTTTACCTCTTTTGATCTGTAAGGTAAAGGTAAAGGTACCCCTGCCCATACGGGCCAGTCGTGTCCGACTCTAGGGTTGTGCGCCCATCTCACTTAAGAGGCCGTGGGCCAGCGCTGTCCGGAGACACTTCCGGGTCACATGGCCAGCGTGACGAAGCTGCTCTGGCGAGCCAGCACCAGCGCAGCACACGGAAACACCGTTTACCTTCCCGCAATAAAGCGGTACCTATTTATCTACTTGCACTTAAGGGTGCTTTCGAACTGCTAGGTGGGCAGGAGCTGGGACCAAATGACGGGAGCTCACCCCGCCACGGGGATTCAAACTGCCGACCATACGATCGGCAAGTCCTAGGCACTGAGGGTTTACCCACAGCGCCACCCGTGTCCCTTTTGATCTGTATCATGGTCCTAACAGAAATCTATTTGCTGAAGCTGCTCTTTGCATTTGGCACGGCCACAAAGCCTCTGTATAATTCCACCTTGTGGATGGCACCCTCAAGTGCAACTCATGACCCCAACCTTTCACTAGTACTTTAGTCTCTTATTCTGGAGATGGGGAAACTTACAGACTTTCTCCAGTCACTATGGGGAGGAAGAGCCAGCCCAACTTCTCCTGATTCCCTGTTTGCCCAAATCTTGGGTGTGTGTTGCTAGAGCAACCTCATGGGAGATAAACATTAGAGTGACCTACCGTGACCAGTAAACCTTCAGCATCACAGTGTTGGACTAGGTCTGGGGAGACTTTGGGCCAGTCACTATCGCTCAGCCTAACCACAGGGCTGTTGTGAGGATAAAATAGAAGGCAGGAGAACCAGCTAATGGAGGGGAGACCTGGAGCAGCATGAGGCAGGAAACCTTCAGAGAGTTGTGCTTGGGGAAATAATTCCTTTGTCTAGATAGGGAAGAGGTGTGAGTTGGAGGAATCTTGTCTTGGGCTCTTCTTAACCAAAGAGAAAACACTATTGTATATCGGGGAGGAGACTTCAAGCAAGGGAGCCTTTGGGCCACAAAATTTCTTAAAGGGCAGGCAGCGTTACAGTGTCAGCGAAGAACTGCTTTAAAATGTACATACCAGCTTTTGAGAGGGGATTTGTGTTGAGACAGTGGAAAAGAAAAGTTAAACTTCCTTTACCCCTAGACCAGGGGTCTGCAACCTTTAAGACAAAAAGAGCCACTTGGACCCGTTTCCGAAAGAAAAAAAAACTGGGAGCCGCAAAACCGGGAAGGTGATGTCGGGACAGTGCGTGACTAACGCACGCACCGCCCCCATGCGACGTCACAGCCAGTACAGCGCCCGCCACAGTGGGGAGTGTCGGGGCGCACAATGCCCCTCCTCCCCTCGCTAGTATCCGCCCCGGAGCTGCAGCAAAGATGTAAAAGAGCCACATGCAGCTCCGGAGCCGCGGGTTGCAGACCCCTGCCCTAGACTGTTCAGGCTTCCCCTTGGTTGCTATTTACATTAAAAAAATGTATACTTCAGTGGTGTTAATGCAATTATAGTCATATCTAGTTTAGCTTTAGATGATAACACAGAGTAGTATTTCACCTATATTTGTTATATATCAAAGATGATACCCAAAAAAAAAAAAAAATTGCCCATCAACACACACACACAGACACACACAAATCGAAATCTGCCTTTGTTTAAAAGCTGGATTACATAGTGATAACACTTACTTTGTAACTGCCAGTGCCTTAATTGTTATTTTCCCATCTGGTAATGTGATTGGTCCATTATACTTAAAAGTATTATGATCTCTGTAATTAAGTTTCCTAAAGAGCTGTGGTTTACTTCCATCAATAGTATAATATATGGTGACATCAGGGGTATCTGAAAGATGAAAAAAAGGATGTTATCCTTCTCCCCTCAAACAATAATTTCTATATGAAAATATTTCTTTAAAAACCCCCACAAATTTAAACCACAAGAATAGACTTCCTGCGAGCAGATGTCTATATCCCCCTTAAATACCATGAACACTGTTGGACAGTGGAATTTGCTGCCAAGGAGTGTGGTGGAGTCTCCTTCTTTGGAGGTCTTTAAGCAGAGGCTTGACAACCATATGTCAGGAGTGCTCTGATGGTGTTTCCTGCTTGGCAGGGGGTTGGACTCGATGGCCCTTGTGGTCTATTCCAACTCTATGATTCTATGAATACATTTTTCTCTGTACATAAAAATATACAGTATTCAGCTGCAATCTATACAGCCTGGAAGCAAGCTTTCCCAAAGATTAGTAACTGCAAGTTGCAACCTACAACAATGTTGCGATTTAGCAGCCGCACCAAATAGGATTGCCTGTGTTTTAGCTAGGCGGAAACTGGAGCCTTGTTGTGCTTTTGGAGGATTCAGAAGGGAACCCCTTTCCCAATAAAGTGCTGAAAGGCTCTAATTCAGGGCTGTCAGCACTGAACCAGAGCACTTTATGGGGTGGGCAGACACTGTTGCAGAGTAAGAAAGGGAAGAATTTCCCCTTTCCCCATTCTCTTTCTAAACTCCTGGCACACATCTGACTTCTCCAGTGCTGATACACCTGATGCCTATATATAGATCTGCAGAAAAACAGTACTACTGAGCCTCAAGTGTTGAAGGACGCTTTCTCTGTGTGTGCATGTTCCTGAAAAGGCATGCCATTAGCTTCCGTAGCACATGATTTTTATGGGAAATAAAGCTGGAGCCATGTATGCCTCCTTCCAGCAACTCCTGCAGCCCAGGCTGGTCCCAAGCATATTGCCCTGTTTTCCTTTGGAGCACATCAGTGAGGCTGAGAGTGGGTCTTGTTGTCTGGGCAGGATAGGACCCCCAGGCCTGCACTTTGCTAACGCAGCAGCTTGACTTCACCCCTGGTGTCACACTCCACTGTCTCTCAGGACAAATAGATGCCAACAACAGTATTTATTGAGAGAAGTGAATAATTTTGGGGATGGTGAGTTCCTTTCTTTTTTTGAAGTACTATGTTATAAACGCTTTTGCCATTTGTGCCCCCCCCAATTCCTTTATGTCCTTGCTAATAGTATGTAATAGCAAAGAAGAAGAATTTAATAATTTATCATTTCTACCCCGCCCATCTGGCTGGGTTTCCCCAGCCGCTCTGGGTGGCCTTCAACAGAACATTAAAAACAGAATAAAACTTCAAACATTAAAAACTTGCCCAAACAGGGCTGCCTTCAGATATCTTCTAAAAATTGGATAGTTGTTTATTTCCTTGACATCTGATGGGAGGGCGTTCCACAGGGTGGGCGCCACTACCGAGAAGGCCCTCTGCCTGGTTCCCTGTAACCTCACTTCTCGCACTGAGGGAACCGCCAGAAGGCCCTCGGTGCTGGACCTCAGCTGAACGATGGGGGTGGAGATGCTTCTTCAGGTATACTGGGCCAAGGCCGTTTAGGGTTTTAAAGGTCAGCACCAACGCTTTGAATTGTGCTCGGAAATGCACTGGGAGCCAATGTAGGTCTTTCACGACTGGTGTTATATGGTCTCAGCAGCCACTCCCTGTCACCAGTCTAGCTGCCACATTCTGGATTAGCTGCAGTTTCTGGGTCACCTTCAAAGGTAGTCCCACATACAGTGTGCTGCAGTAGTCCAAGTAGGAGATAACCAGAGCATGCACAACTCTGGTGAGACAGTTTGCGGGCAGATAGGGTATCAACCTGTGTACCAGATGGAGCTGGTAAACAGCTGCCCTAGACACAGAATTGACCTGCACCTCTATGGACAGCTGTGAGTCCAAAATGACTCCCTGGCTGCGAACCTGGTCCTTCAGGGGCACAGTTACCCCATTCAGGACCTGGGAGTCCCCCACACCCACCTGCCCCGTCCCCCCAAAACATTACCTCTAACCACCGTTTTTATTCTGTCCCAGATAAATACCTGTAGTGGGTTGGACAAGAGCCAACAGGTGTGATTCTTACCTTTGTACATCAGGTTACATTCATTTATTCATTCATTCACACATTCACACTCCTATGCACACCTCTCTCCATCCAGGACAAACAAGAGGCATTATCACAGTTCAGGAACATGCAACCCTTTTGCCCAGAAGGGTTTGGGGCAGAGCTGGAATGAAGTGTGATCTAGGGAGAACTGTGGCGTTGGTAGTACCCTTAGGTCCATTTAGAGAGGCCTGGAGGGCTGTGTTTCATCTCTGGGCCTGAGGTTCCCCAAATCAGTTTTAAAGTGTCTTCCTTTTTACAAGATGAAAGCACTAATGAAGTGAAATGGAAAGACCAGCAGTATGTGTGTCGCCCATATAAAATGAAACATATAGCATGCATTCTGAGCTGTTGCAAATACCTGATTTGATCTCTATAAGTGTATTTGTATCTATTTCATGTTTAGCTTTGCCTGGTGTTGACAATCGTAGTGGTATAATTTGAGGCACTAAGATGGATCCAGCAGTCATTTTTCCCCTCAAGGTCTATTGGAACAAAGCAAAATATTATTATTTTGAACACAACAATGCAGTAAGTAATACATATGTACATCCACTCCAAGACTGAGGCTGCAATCCTATTCATACTTACCCGACAGTAGCCCACTGTAGCCAGTGGGATTTACAGTAATTCTATCTAAATAGAAATGGTTATGATCTCAACTGTGCATGCTATGAATTGCAGAAGGATTGCTGTAAACTTCTCCTCTTGGGATCCTTTAAAGGCTGTTTGCATGCCAGTATCTTCCAGGGAAGCTCAGTGGCACTGTCTGAGGCGCACTTGCTGAGTCAATGAGATAGGTCACCTGGATCTAGGCTCTACAACAGGTGCTAGGAACTTTTTGGCCCTCCAGATGCTAATGAACTACAATTCCCATCACCCCCAGCGAGCATGCTCAATGGCCAGGGTTGATGGGAGTTGTAGTTCAGTAACATCTGGAGGGCCAGAGGTTCTCCACACTTGCTCTAGGAATCCCTCATTCAGTGGGCTCACTTGGCCCCCTTTAGTTTTAGTCCTCAAAAATATCGCTGGAACCGTTTTATGCTGTCTGAGCCTCAGAATTTGATCGTGATTATCCTGTTTTCAGTAAGCTTTAAAAAACAACAACCCACAAACCAATTCCATCATTGTTTTGTTATGTTCTGAGCGGCTTCCCTGGAGGAAACTGGGGGACAGACAACCAAGCATCGCCCTTCGTCCTGTATCTATTCCGGTCCTCGTCACCGGGAGAACCACCAGGTGCAACGGAAGAGCCCCGGAGCCACCGCCCTTCCCCCCGGCGAACGAGGCAGCCCCAGCCGCCCCTCAGGCGACACTCACCGGCGGCCTCGCTCCGGGCCCAAGCCTCGTCCGTCGCCACGGCAACCGCAGCCTCTCTTTCCCGCCAGCCCCGCCTCGACGGGCGCCTTCTGTTGACGTCACCGACCCCGTCGCCCCGGCAACCGCAGCCGCTCTTTTACGCCAGCCCCGCCCTCGACGGGCGCCTTCTGTTGACGTCACCGACCCCGTCGCCCCGGCAACCGCAGCCGCTCTTTCACGCCAGCCTCGCCTTCCCGACGGGCGCCTTCTGTTCACGTCACCGCCCCCCCACGCGACTCCCCTGGTCTCGCTTTGCGACGGAGGCTTCCGCCATGGCGGAAGCGAAGGCCCCGGAGCCGCTGGAGATAGAGAGCAGGTAAAAGCCGAGCCCGAGTCAAAAGCGACGCCTGCGTCCAGGGGACCCGGGTGCCGCAGGGCTCTGTCCTCGTCCACGTCTTCGCAAAGCGACTTGGAGGGAGGAATGGAGGGGAGGCGCATCCACTCTGCTGGGTTGGAAGTGGGGAAGGGGCGCAGGGGACACGATTCCCTGAAAGGGAATACGGCACAAGCGGGGGGAGGGGAAGGATCTCAGGAGGGCAAAGGTTAAGCTCCTTCACTCAGGCAGGAAGAACCACCTGCACAGATACAGGTAGGGAGGGGGACACCTGGCTTACTAGCACTAGTACATGTGAAAGGGACCGAGGGGGTCTTGGTGGAACACAAACTGAGCAGGAGTTTGCAGGGTGATGCGGCAGCAGAAAGAAGAAGAGCTGATGATATTCTAGGCTGCATCCACAGAAATATACAGTCATACCTCATGCTACGTTTGCTTCATGTTAACGTTTTTTCAGGTTGCATCCCGTGGCGACCCGGAAGTACCAGAAAGGGTTACTTCCAGGTTTCGCCGCTCATGCATGCGCAGTAGCACTAAATCACCTTTCACGCATGCGCACAAGTGCCAAATTGCACCGCGCACCTGCGCAGATATGGCGCTTCAGGTTGCGGGCTTTTCACGTTGCAAATGGGCCTCCAGAATGGATCCCGTTCACAACCAGAGGTATTGCTGTAGTGTCCACATCAAGGGCCACGACTGGACCTAATGGTCAGGGGTACCTTTACCTTTATATCCTGCCTTGGTTAGACCACACATGGGAGTTCAGTGTCCAATTCTAGGCACCACAGTTTAAGAAGTGTGTTGACAAGCTGGAACATGGGCAGAGGAGGGCAACCAAGATGATCAAGGGTCTGGAGAGCAAGCCTTAGGAGGATAGGTTGAAGGAGCTGGGTATGTTTAGCCTGGAAAAGAGGAGACTGGGAGGAGATATGATAGCCACCTACAAATATCTAAATGGCCAACTCATGGAAGACAGAGAAAGATTGTTTTCTCCTGCTGTGGAGGGTAGGACTTGAACCAATGGCTTCTGGTTACAAGAAAGGAGATTCCAACTAAACATCAGGAAGAACTTTCTGACAGTAAGAGCTGTCTGACAGTGGAAAGGTCTCCCTCGAGAGGTGGTGGACTCTCCTTGCTTGTAGGTTTTTAAGCAGAGGTTGGATGATATATAGTTGAGATTCCTGCATTGCAGTGGGTTGGACTAGATGACTCCTGGGGTCCCTTCCAGCTCTCCAATTCTATGATTCTATTGAGGAGTCTCTGGAGATACATCTCCCCAGGCACATTTTAGCACCATCCAGTATCAGCATGTATAACTGGGAGATTTAGGCCACAGATAATAAATTAAGGCACAGTAGTAGACAACACCTCACATTGGCAGATGGCAGATGATGTCCTTTCCAATACCCCTCCCGTCTCTTCCTCAGGGGAAACTGAAACAAACCAGACTTTTCTACCATGGTCTCATACCAGGTGAGAGTCACTGTGCCTAACCTACAATGCCATACCCTGACAAACAGTGCAGGACTACCCTACCCCTGTAGCAACCCAAAACAGTCATCCCCACTGCCCACAACAGAGCTTGTTCTTATAGCAAGGCAAGCTCTGGACCACACTCCAGCGGCATTCAGTCAACCAGTAGTCAAATAGCATCCCACACTGCAGTCGCCACTCTTACCTGCAGGCAGATATCTCACTGGACAAACAGAATAATGCAGGTAAAAACCATACAGTCTTTCTGGGTAGGAGAATACACCAGGCTGGTACCAAACCAGCCTCCTCTCCTAGTTTTTTGTCAGTCGGTCCTTAAGGGGCAGTGTGGCAGACACTCTTCTTGTAGCAAGGCAGGCTGTGGACCAGGCCATATTCACTCAGCCAGCAATTTGACTTGGTTTGATTCTCCAGGGAGCTTTTAGCCTTTTACTCCCTGGTGTAGAGTAAATGGCTTGCGTGTTAGTTCTTGATTATTTTTCTTATTGTTATAGGTGTTTGTTTTTTACATCTTTTTTTCTGCTGCTGTTTTCTCAGTGATAGTTCTTGTTTTTTATTGCAATTTATATTTTTCTTATTAGTTATTTGGGACTTAAGAAAAGAGTAGATATAGATGCTTTATGTTATGTTAGTTGTGGATTTGTTCCATAATTGGTGGTACTTTACTTGCTATTTCTACTTTTGCCAGGATCATTGAGCTGTGCCATCAGTTTCCCCAGGGTATCACAGACCAGGTGATTCAGAATGACATGCCTCACATGGAGGCTCAGCAACGGGCAGTGGCCATTAACAGGCTGCTCTCAATGGTAAGACCTTCCCTCGTTCTGTTGTTGGTTGTCTCAAAAGACAATAGAGTGCACCTGGTTCTTTGACAGTATTTAAACTGGATTATATATCGGGATGGGGACGCGGGTGGCGCTGTGGGTTAAAGCCTCAGCGCCTAGGACTTGCCGATCGAAAGGTCGGTGGTTCGAATCCCCGTGGCGGGGTGAGCTCCCGTCGCTCGGTCCCAGCGCCTTCCCACTTAGCAGTTCAAAAGCACCCTCGGGTGCAAGTAGATAAATAGGGACCGCTTACTAGCGGAAAGGTAAACGGCGTTCCGTGTGCTGCGCTGGCTCACCAGATGCAGCTTGTCATGCTGGCCACGTGACCCGGAAGTGTCTCCGGACAGCGCTGGCCCCCGGCCTCTTGAGTGAGATGGGCGCACAACCCTAGAGTCTGTCAAGACTGGCCCGTACGGGCAGAGGTACCTTTACCTTTACCTTATATATCGGGATAATGCACGTTAAGCGGTTAACGTGCGTAACAACCAGCTATTGTGCATATTCATGAAAACTCATGGAGAATGTGCACATAATCTGCTCATCAAGAAGAATTGCATGTAAGGGGGGAGCATGCTTCTGGCAGACTTTACATACTTATTAGAGAATGTGCATATTGCTCAGAGAATGCATAGAATGCAGCCAGGAAATGGACCTTATTCAAAGCCTATTGGAGAATGTTTGTATCTTGGCTACATTCTCTGGGCAATATGTGTAACGTGCTGCTTTACTTTTGCTACTGCTGGCAGAACCACCACCACATTTGTGTTCTGCCCACTGAGCCCTCTGCATGTGAAGCAGGGGCCTCTGGTGGCAAATGGGTCCTTGATCATATCCCAACCCCGTCTAGCAAGCAACACCACAGATTTAAACCTTCTCTTGAAGGCCGCTAATGTAGCTCATCTTCATCCATTTGTCTAGCTTTGCTGCTTAGAACCATTTCACACACAGTGGTACCTCGGGTTACAGACGCTTCAGGTTACAGATGCTTCAGGTTACAGACTCCGCTAACCCAGAAATAGTACCTCGGGTTAAGAACTTTGCTTCAGGATGAGAACAGAAATTGTGCGGCGGCGGCAGCAGGAGGCCCCGTTAGCTAAAGTGGTGCTTCCGGTTAAGAACAGTTTCAGGTTAAGAACGGACCTCCAAAACGAATTAAGTTCTTAACCCGAGGTACCACTGTATTGTACAACAGCAAATCAAGGTTTGCTATAGAACATATGCTCAACAGAGAACTGCAGCCAAATTTCCCTTACAAATATATCTGTTTGCCACACATGTCCATAAACTTGTGCCATGCATATCCATAAACATGTGCACACATTACAATTTGTAGAGTATGCCTAAAAATGTAATCTATTTAGGTGTCCTTCAGAGTCACGAAAATGAAATGTATAACATCTTAAGGGGAAAATATTTTTTCTGATCCATTTAGAATGAATATTAATTATATAAGGGAATATGCAGTATTAAATTAAAACAGTCTAAGTTTATTACTGAGTGTCTTTCATATTGCATCCTAATGTTAAATCATGATTTTAGAAATCTGTCAAAATATTACAACAATGTCTATTCTCTTAGGGACAGCTGGACCTGTTGAGGAGCAGCACTGGCCTCCTCTACAGGATCAAGGAATCTCAGAATGCTGGGTAAGCTGTGCTCTCAAAGCATCAACACTTTTTCTGCTTCTGTCACTGAGAAATTGATGGACATAATTGTATTTACCATGATACTGTAGCTTGGAAAATCACCTTAGGTGAAGGAACATTTCTAAATAACCAGTAGAAAGCTCTCTCGTCTGTGGTCAAATTCTAGTTTCTTTTTGACATCTCAAAATATGTATAGTATTTATTTATTTCATAAAATGTATATGCCTCTTGATTGTCTGGGGGGGGGGAACCTCACATCGATCAAATCCACTGAGGTTTTCAAAAACCAAACACTATTCACTTCTTGTTTTGTCTTTCTGCAGTAAAATGAAGGGATCTGACAATCAGGAGAAGCTGGTGTATCAGATTATAGAGGATGCAGGAAACAAAGGTAATGTGCTTGTCTGTCGCCTTGTGTTTTCCACTTTATGGTCTTCTTCACTGTAGCTTTTTAATTCCTGAATGCAGTGGAGTTAGAAAGGTTTTATTTTACTTGGAGAAATGGCATTCAATACAGGAAAAGGATGTGGGGATGGTATTATGAGAACCTGGATACATGTAATATGTAAAAATAAGATTCATGCTGAAGATGAATTAATTTTCCTTTTTTTAAACAACCAAAACAGGTATTTGGAGCAGGGATATTAGGTATAAAAGCAATCTTCCGTTAACTGAGATCAACAAGATCCTGAAGAACTTGGAAAGCAAGAAACTGATTAAAGCTGTGAAGTCTGTAGCGGTGAGTAGCTCATAATTTTGAACTAGCTAAACAGTCTGTAATGCCTGACTGTTGTGTGGGGGTAAAGCATTTCTATTGTGTAACAGAAGAAATAGCTCTTAAGAGTCGTCATCTAATTGTGGTTTCACCTGTTAAATCATGGGTAGGCAAACTAAGGCCCAATTGCCTTCTAAATCCGGCCTGCGGACGGTCTGGGAGTCAGCGTATTTTTACATGAGTAGAATGTGTCCTTTTATTTAACATGCATCTCTAGGTTATTTATGGGGCCTGCCTGGTTTTTTACATGAGTAGAATGTGTGCTTTTATTTAAAATGCATCCCTGGGTTATTTGTGGGGCATAGGAATTCGTTCATTTTTCCCCCCTTCAAAATATAGTCTGGCCCCCCCACAAGGTCTGAGGGACAGTGGACTGGCCCTCTGCTGAAAAAGTTCGCTGACCCCTGTGTTAAATGGTAGAAATAATGGGTTTGTCTCTAATGAATGCCCTTGACTGGGAGCTGCAGCCATTCCTGGTTCCTGGAGGCCGTGGTTGGATGGGCCATCTGTCCTGGATGGTTTAGTTGAGATTCCTGCATTGCAGGGGGTTGGACTAGATCAGTGTTTCCCAACCTTTTTTGGGCAAAGGCACACTTGTTTCATGAAAAAAATCTCGAGGCACACCACCATTAGAAAATGTTTAAAAAATTAACTCTGTGCCTATATTGACTATATATAAAGTAACTCTCTTTAATAGGAATCAAATAAACACAAAGATAGTATTTTATAATTACAGTGGTGCCTCGCAAGACGAAATTAATTCGTTCCGCAAGTCTCTTCGTCTTGCGAGTTTTTCGTCTTGCGATGCACGGTTTCCCATAGGAATGCATTGAAAATCAATTAATGCGTTCCTAGGGAAACCGCCTTCAGACCAGGTCCGGGGACAGTCTGTCCCCCGACCTCTTCTGAAGGCTGGGGGGGGGGGACAAGGGCTTTTCTTCCCACCCCCAGCATTTTAAAAAATCCCGGGACAGCTGAGGACGTCTCCACTGTCCGGGGTGATCTTAAAATGCTGACGGGCGGCATTTTAAAATCGCCCGGGACAGCGGAGGACTTCTCCGCTGTCCAGGGCGATTTAAAAGCCCCTGGGAAGGCAGGCAGGGGGGACAAAGACTTTCACCCCCGCCAGCCTTCAGAAGAGGTCCTGGACCTCTTCTGAAGGCTGGCGGGGGGCGAAAGTCTTTGCTCCCCCCCCCCCCGCCTGCCTTCAAAAAGCCCTCCGGGACAGCGGAGAAACGCGCTGCGGTTTCTCCGCTCTCCCGGGAAGGCAGGCAGGGGGGAGCAAAGACTTTTGCCACCCGCCTGGGCCTTGCAGAAGAGGGTCCTGGAGGCGATCCCCCCCCCCGCCGCCCAGGGCATCGGGGCATCGTTCGCGATGGCGGGGGGCGGTTCCCCCCGCCGCCCGGGGGGGGATCGTGCTGCCCGGGATCGGGCATCGTCCCGATGGCGGGCGGCGGGGGGAGGCGTTCCTGCCCCCACCGCCCGGGATCGGGGCATCGTCCCGATGGCGGGCGGCGGCGGAGGCGTCCCCCCCCGCCGCCCGGGATCGGGGCATCGCGCGCGGAGCCTGGCTCGGGTCGCCAATGCTGCGGGCGGACATGGCGAGCTGGGCGGGACTCGGGCGCGCGCTGGGCGCCTGCTGCCTCCTGGGCCTCTTCTGCAGCGCTGCGCTGCCCTTCTCGCTGCAGGGCGCAAACGAGAAAGCGCCCGCCTCCCTCCCACGGCACACCAGGTAACGTCTCGCGGCACACTAGTGTGCCGCGGAACACCGGTTGGGAAACACTGGACTAGATGACCCTAGGGGTCCCTTCCAAATCTAAAAGTTCTGTGATACTGTGCACACGGGTCCTGCTCCCTGGTTTCCCACAGGCCTCTGGTTGGCCCCTGTGAGAACAGGATGCTGGCCTCGATGGGCCACTGGCCTGATCCAGCAGGCTCTTCTTAAGCTCTTAAAGAAATGAGCAGTGCTGCTGCTGCCCAAACCTCTGCCACGGACACTGCCAGAGCCACCGATAGCCTTACACCATGGCCGTGCCTGTGTCTCATGAGACTCAGGAATCAAGAAGAAGAGTTTGGATTTGATATCCCGCCTTTCACTCCCTTTAAGGAGTCTCAAAGCGGCTCACATTCTCCTTTCCCTTCCTCCCCCACAACAAACACTCTATGAGGTGAGTGGGGCTGAAAGACTTCAGAGAAGTGTGACTGGCCCAAGGTCACCCAGCAGCTGCATGTGGAGGAGCAGAGAATCGAACCCGGTTCACCAGATTATGAGTCTACCGCTCTTAACCACTACACCACACCGGCTCTCTGAGAAGATACCGACTTTAAAAAAAGAATGGGGAAAATTTATAATTTACTTAGGAGACCATTGTAAACTAATAAAAATGTTAGCTGGACTGTAAAAATAACTTGTAAAGAAATGAAAAATATGGATAATTTAGAGAAATGAAAACTTTAGAGACGTTAGAAATGAAAATTTAGAGAAAATTTATGGGGAAACCTAGCCAAATGGGTGGGGTATAAATAATAAAATTATTATTATTATTATTATTATTTCATACCTTGGGTTCCAGATGCTTCGGGTTGCTCACCGCGCCGAACCCGGAAGTACCGGAACGGGTTTCTTCTGGGTTTCGGCACATGCGCAAAAGCGCTAAATCACGCTTTGCATGTGCGCAGACGTGCCGAATGGCTACCCGCGCGTGTGCAGACGTGGCACTTTGGGCTGCGAACGTGCTTCCCGCACTGATCATGTTCGCAACCCGAGCGTCCACTGTATTGTATGTAGTTTTAGAAAAAATATTTTAAGGACCCATGCAGGGGATGGGGGGAGGTTGCGAGATTCAGAGAATCTCATATATGGATATGGTAAAAGTTTTTCTTCTTCATTATTTTGAATTTGTTTTTGTAAAAGCCAATGAAAAATATTACAAAACAAAACAAAACGAGCACACACAATGTAGGGCAGGTAGAGGTGAATATACAATTGTGCTTAAGCAATTCACTTTGGCAGAGTCAGAGAGATGCAGTCACACAACTGCTTGTGGCATTTTCCAGAATACACACTTTTTCATAGAATAAGTCCAACCCCCGAACCCTCTGCAATGCAGATATATGCAACTGTCCCAGACAGGGATTGAACTTTCAACACTGGCATTCTCAGTCCCATGCTCTACCAACCCACAATCCAGGCTTAATTTTTCTCTCTTAATGAAAGAGAACATGTGAACAATACCTGTACCATTAATTCCCTAGGCTTCCAAGAAGAAAGTGTATATGTTATACAACCTTCAACCAGATCGCTCTGTGACAGGAGGAGCTTGGTATAGCGACCAAGACTTTGAATCTGAATTTGTAGAGGTGCTTAACCAACAGTGTTTTAAGTTCTTACAGACCAAGGTGAGTGTCCTTGTTTTGTGCATGATTCTTTGTGCCATGTCCGACTGTAATCCCAATAATATGCCAAAGAGATCTTTGCTTGGCAGTTTTCAGTGATAGCATATCTCGGCTAGGCAGCTGTGAAGTAGGAAGGAGCAACTGCTAAGGAACATTCTGCAAGAATAAACTCATAAAGTCCTTTAACTGTCTCCAGTTTTCCTTATTCCTAAAAAGGCAATCCCAAATACTGTAGAAGAAATATATTGTTATATTATTTGTCACCAGTGCTGGTCGCGTTTTTGGGAGTGCTGTTGTTGATGAGCCCTGATATTGTTAGTTTGAAGGGTTCCATCACACTCTAGTGTTACCCAGATACAGAATATAGGATGGTGCTCTGCAAATATCTCAGACACTAAATGCCTTCCATATGATTGCAAGGAACAAAGTAAACTCAGTTGTTTTTTAAAAAAAACCTGGCGGTTTAAGAGTGTCTCATGTTGGTTCAAGCACCACAAAGCTGACTGCTTTTAGTTAATTAATTTAGTTACATTTGTTTTGAATTTTACTTATTTTTATTATATGTGTATAATTATTTTACGTATATTTGTTTTTTAAATATTTTTGTGGTTTGTGTGTGTGTGTGTTTTTCTACATTTTTGTTATGTACAGTGGTACCTCGGGTTAAGAACTTAATTTGTTCCAGAGGTCCGTTCTTAACCTGAAAAGGTTCTTAACCTGAAGCGTGCTTTTGCTAATGGGGCCTCCTGCTGCCACTGCGCCACTGGCGCGCAATTTCCGTTCTTATCCTGGGGCAAAGTTCTTAACCTGGAGCAACCATTTCCTGGTTAGTGGAGTTTGTAACCCGAAGCATCTGTAACCTGAGGTACCACTGTACAGTGCTTAGAGGCCTCTTTGATTAAACTGCATATAAATCTTCCTAAACATACATGCCCCACAATTGGCAATGATGCACAATTGTGATGCAAGTTGTGCTTCCTAACACATTCCATCCACTTGCAGGTTCCCTTGGCCTTTCAGGCCCAGATGCAGCTACTGCCCTCCAGATTGCCTGCTCGCTTTCTCTCCTTCTGAAGGGAATGCAACTAGCCCCGTAGTCAAACCACTACGCTACACTTCCCCTGCATTGGGGACAGGAGCACTGTGGTGCTAACAGTGCAGTGCTGGCAGGCAGTGTTGCCTAGTGGTTTGACCATTGGACTGGCTAAAGACATGCCATATGGTTCACAGGGATGCATTGCTATATTTCCCACATAATTAACCTCACTGCGTCCCAGAATGTGAGATTAAATACTGGAAGAGAACCACCCCTATGCAAGTGAACCTGGTGCATGTGGTTTACTGCATGTGCTTTGCCACTGATCCCCACGTCCAATAATCTCTCTAAAATTATGTTAAACTAGGAACATATCCTCCTTTACCGATGCAGACTGGCCCTGCCAAACACCATGCTTCTCTCTGTATTTTGTAGGCCGAAGCAGCTCGAGAAAGCAAGCAGAACCCCATGATCCAGAGAAACAGCTCGTTTGCATCCTCTCACGAGGTGTGGAAATACATCAGTGAGTTAGGTGTCAGTAAGGTGAAGCCGTCGTTCTATTTCTTTCCTTGCATTTTCTGCACAATGATCAATACTGCATTGTAGCTATGGATAATTGGATTTTTTTTTAAGCTTCAACTCAACTTCAGCTACATATTTCTCTGATGATCCTATATTTTAGAAATATCCTCCCCAGGGAAATACTTACAGTGGTGCCTCGCAAGACGAAATTAATCCGTTCCGCGAGTCTCTTCGTCTTGCGGTTTTTTCGTCTTGCGAAGCACGGCTATTAGCGGCTTAGCGGCTATTAGCGGCTTAGCGGCTTTAAGAAAAAGGAACTTCTTTGTTGGTGCATAGGAGAGCATTAAAAGCTTTTTATCGTTATTACAGTCTGCATTTGCGTAATCTTACTTTATCGGGTTTTCATTCCCCCCCCCTAAAAATTTCATCTCCTATGGTTATTTGCTAAAGTTTTTAAAAACAATGCTCATTAAAAAAAAAAGGGACAAATATTCGGGCGTGGGCTTGGAAAGTGATAAAATAAACCTTATGGCTTCACAGTTGGGGGGAACTATGGGAGCAGTCAGTAATACTTTTTTTTTACTGCTTGTTTTCCTTTGTCTGTGAAATCAGAGTGTTTCAGGTAAAGGCATTCAGCTGATTGTTGACGCTGGCCTTGCAAGCACCGCCATGATCCCTGTGTCTCTACTCCCAGTGGGCTTCTCCATCTGGGCTGATCAGGAATAATCAGGAGCTTTAATTGCTCCTGTGGAACCCCATCCTTACCTGCGCCACACCTGATGTCACATATAATGTCAGGTGTAGGGCAGGTGGCCATGGCTTGGTAAAAAGGGCCTTGCAGGTCAAATGGAGACCCCTGCTGGTCCTAATTAGTCCTGCGGGTGGTCTAGGTCCAGCAGAAGATGCTGTTGTTGCACTACCAGCTCCTCATTCCCTCTTTGGCTCCCAAGAAGGTGTAGTTAAGCAGTGTATAAATTGTTTTTAACAAAAAAAATCCTTCCAGTAGCACCTTAAAGACCAACTAAGTTAGTTCTTGGTATGAGCTTTCGTGTGCATGCACACTTCTTCAGATACATACCAAGCACACGAAAGCTCATACCAAGAACTAACTTAGTTGGTCTTTAAGGTGCTACTGGAAGGATTTTTTTTGTTTTGACTATGGCAGACCAACACGGCTACCTATCTGTAACTTGTTTTTAACAATAATAGATGAGGTTTTTTCCATGCTGCCTTAAGTTCCTGCTTGATAAGCCTTTGATTTTCTTACTGTTATTTCCTAGCATCTCTAATTTCTGCAAGCATTCATTTCAAATTTTGTGCAGTGTTAGCCGCAGCCTAGGAGTAATCATAATAATAATAATAATAATCATTTTTATTTATACCCCGCCCTCCCCTGCCAGGGCCGGGCTCAGGGCAGCTAACACCAAATATAAATTACAATTAAACATAATAGAAAAAAGTTAGTTAATTAAAATACGGCTTGAAAAAAAGCTTAAAATATTGATAATTAAGATATCGATACATCTCTTCTTTGCTTGAAAAAGCTTCTTCTGTTGTTTCATTTTTACAAATCCTTTTTTTAAGGTGGAATTGTCAATGGAAGATATTGAAACCATCCTCAACACATTAATCTATGATGGAAAGGTAGAAATGACCATTGTTGCTGCAAAAGAGGCAGCTGCCGGCAGCGTGGACGGGCACATGAAACTGTACAGAGCCATCAATCCCATCATCCAGCCTACAGGCTTAGTTCGGACGCCTTGTGGACTCTGTCCGGTGAGTTACTTCTCAGGAGTAACATGATGATATTTAGCTAATCTGACAAATTTAAGCTTATTTCTCATTTAGACAGCCATTCAGGCAGGACTGCAGAGAACATACATAACAAATCCTATGAGCTGTAAAATGTTTAAGCAGGAATAGAACAGGCCAATGACCCATGTAGTCCAGCATTCGGTTCTCACAGTGGCCAACCAGAGGCCTGTGGGGAAATCGCAAGCAGGGTTTGAGCACAAGAACAACACTCTCCTCTTGTGACTTCCAGCATTTGCTCTTGTGATATTAGCTTCTATTTTGATATAATTATTTGGGGGTGGGGGAACCAACAACAGCTGTGTTTACAAAAAAATCAGAAACGTAGTAAGGGTAAAAGGGTAAAGGACCCCTGGATGGTTAAGTCCAGTCATAGGCGACTGTGGGGTTGTGGTGCTCATCTCGCATTCTGGGTCATGTGACCAACAGGACTAAACCGCTTCTAGCGCAACAGGACACTGTGACGAATGCCAGAGCGCACAGAAACGGCGTTTACCTTCCCGCCACAGTGGTACCTTATTAAATCCATATGACACACCCCCTGCATGCCCCAAGGATATGATTGAGAAACTAACATGCAGTCCTTGGGGCTGAATGGGGGCTGTACTGTATGCACATATAACTGAATTGATCTAGGAAATGGCATAAACTAATTGTATGTATGTTTAATTCTCTTCCTAGGTTTTTGACGACTGCCATGAAGGTGGTGAGATATCTCCATCAAATTGTATTTATATGGTAGAGTGGTTAGAATTTTAGCAGTAGGTGGAGAGAGCTTATTGCAACCTAGGTTGATCAACCTTCTAATTATGGACACTGCTTTTCTTGAAGAAGAATGCAAAAAATCTTTGACGGTGTCTTTGCTGTGGCAAAGACTCTGATCTCTCTTCGGGCACTGACTGGACACATGGAAAGAAAGGGGCCAAGACTCCGAAATTGCTTCCTGTATAAACTGTATGCAGGCACAGAGTTCTGCATATTTTTTACAGATGCAAGTTATATTTTGACCTTTTGGGAGACTTGTTGATTCCTGTGCTAAATAAAATAAATAATTTAAATTGAGTCCCACAGTGTGCCTTTTGGATCATAATGTGGTAGAGAGCAGCTGAACAAGAAGCAGCCCTGTTTTGTGGTACTGGGTGGGCACAATGCACCCAAATGTTCTCTTGTTGAAGCCTTATCCAAGTAACTGGGAGGTGCATAGGAACACAAGCTGGGGCAGCGCTGAAACGGAGATATTCTTGTAAGTTCTACATCTTTTGTTCTGGCAAATCTTTTCCAGGTGCTTGTCTTAAATTGTAAAATCCAATCCAGCGAAAACAGTGGATTCTAAGTTGAGTGTGAGTGATGTCCAAGTGGATTCTGCTGGTTGAAGGCAGGAAATTAGATCAGCACTTTTATTTGCTTGTAGCTCCTCTCTGTTGACGGACTTTGAGCTCCATTTCCTGTCCTGCTTGGAGCATTGCCCACTTCTCTGTGTTATGTTCTCTTACTTTTAGCTCTGCTGCCGCCTTTTCCTCCCTAACCCCCCACCCCCGGCTTCAGCAAGGAAAATGAAGGTCTCTTTGCCTTCCCAGCACATTCATGTGGTTATAAACTTACACACACCCTCCAAAGGCCTAGCCAAATTACTGTTAAGTATTCAAACTTTAGTTTACAGGATGTTTCATAACTTGTTTTGCCTTGGCGTATTTATATGATCAACTTACATTTTTATATCAGTTTACAGCCATGACTTCTTCCTCAATATACTGGGTTTTGTAGTTTCTGGAGGGCAATGCTCTGTTGGTGATCCCTTGTCCCTCTTTCCTCATATACAGAGAAATATTCGTTTATTTCATTAAATTTATATTCCGCTTGATTGTAAAAACCTCAAATTGTTTTACAAAGAGAAGAAAACAAAATCTTTAAAAACTTTTAAAACTATTTGAAACAATCAAAAAAATGTTGTTAAAAAAGAGAAACATTGAGAAAAGATAAACTGAAGACAAAACACACATCAACATTCTGCATATCTGGGTAGGCTTGTCCCCCCCCCAAAGTACAGCAGTACCTCAGTTTTCAAACGTAATCCATTCCGGTAGACCATTCAACTTCAGAAACGTTCAAAAACCGAAGCATGCATTTCTGGAAGAATTTACTTATGGAAAACTCAAAAAGGAAGCTGTGTAGCATGTTTGACTTCCGAAAAGCATTCAAAAACCAAAGCAGTTACTTCCGGGTTCTCAGCATTCAAAAACCGAAACATTTGACTTTCAAGACGTTTGAGAATTGAGGTACCACTGTACAGTAAAGGTGACTGTCTAATGTCAGTAGGCAGGGAATTCCAAAGTGTAGGTGCTGCCATTGTAATACAATTTTTTTACAAATGTGCTGTGGTCTAAACCACTGAGCCTAGGACTTGCTGATCGGAAGGTTGGTGGTTCAAATTGAATACGGGGTGAGCTCCCGTTGCTCGGTCCCAGCTCCTGCAACCTAGCAGTTCGAAAGCACGTCAAAGTGCAAGTAGATCAATAGGCACCGCTCCGGCAGGAAGGTAAACAGCGTTTCCGTGCACTGCTCTGGTTTCACCAGAAGCGGCTTAGTCATGCTGGCCACATGACCCGGAAAAACTGCGGGCAAACGTTGGCTCCCTCAGCCAGTAAAGTGAGATGAGCGCCACAACCCCAGAGTCGTTCACGACTGGACTTAACTGTCAGAGGTCCTTAACTTTACCTTTTTTAATAGGTTTTATGTGTGGCACTTGTAACAGTATGAGTTCTGCAGATTGAAGTGGCTAAGCTGGCACATGTGGGGGAAGATAATCTGGTCCAAGTTTTTAAGGACTTTATATACTAACAGTAACACCTTAAACTTGACCTTTTGGCAAACTGGCAACCTGTGCAAATCTCTGAGCACAGGTACTATATGCTCACATTCCTGTCAGCAATTGTGCTGCAGCATTCTGCACCAACTGCAGCTTCCAGATCTAGCACAAGGGAGGCCCACATAGAGCACATTGCAGTAATCCTGATCTATATTTTGCTCTAGGAGACTTTTTTTGGTCAGAATCTGGTATATACTCCCAGAGTTAACACTAAATGCATCGCTTCTGGTAAATGAGCCGCTAGAGGACCATGAAAATGTGTGTCCTGGGCTTTTTAGACTTGTCTACCCATCTGACCCATGGGACGCGGGTGGCGCTGTGGGTTAAACCACAGAGCCTAGGGCTTGCCGATCAGAAGGTCGGCGGTTCGAATCCCCACAACGGGGTGAGCTCCCGTTGCTCGGTCCCTGCTCCTGCCAACCTAGCAGTTTGAAAGCACGTCAAAGTGCAAGTAGATAAATAGGTACCACTCCAGCGGGAAGGTAAATGCCGTTTCCATGTGCTGCTCTGGTTCACCAGAAGCGGCTTAGTCATGCTGGCCACATGACCCAGAAGCTGTACGCTGGCTCCCTCGGCCAGTAAAGCAAGATGAGTGCCGCAACCCCTGAGTCAGCCACGACTGGACCTAATGGTCAGGGGTCCCTTTACCTTTACCCATCTGAAACCAAAGTGGCACATTGGGTGTCAGATGTGATTTCCCCCGCCAGCTCTCCTACCCCACTGTAGGAGCTTTGGAGGGGATTGTGTATTTAAGTGGGAAGGTAAATGTGAGGGGCTATGGGTTACAGTTCTTGGATTCCCTGACAAAGCAATCCGGAGACAATATATCTGGGAACTTGTATCTTCAGATGTGCTAAATAAGCTTTTTTTGGTTTCCCCAACCCACCTCAAGAACCTTTTTGCTGGCAATCTTTTCAGCAAGATCTTCTAACAGAGAGCCACAGTCAGCGATTTAACTTAGTGATGTTAGCGCTCCCTCTGCTGCACAATCTTTATTAAGAACTGGATTCTTTAATCCAGACAAAATAATACTTGGTGGATAATGTTAACATGGTAACTGTGTTTGCTTACATGATTCACAATGTCTCTCCCTTTTGTTGACATTCCCGCCCACCTCCCGGTGCATAGGAACAGGCATATTTCCTTTCTTGTTCCATATTTTCTCTGTAAAACGACACGCAGTGTGATGGTCCTTTTTAAACAAATAACAAAAACGGGAAGTATGGACAACGCTGCTGCTTCCTCATGTGAAATTCCTTCTTTCCTCATCTCTTTCATAATCACGAACAGCTGTAGTTTCTCATATTGATGGACCTCGTGTCTTTGTAAAGGGTTTATATTTTGCAGTTTGCAACATCCGTTCTCAGTTTAAAGAGTGTGCAGGAGGGTAAAGACATGATGGGACAGTCAGAGTGGTAGCAGTGTTCAAGAGAGAATAGGAGCAGGGGCAGCTGTAATCAGGGTACAATGAAATTTATTATTATGTTTTTATTGTAATTTTACTGGTGTTAGCCGCCCTGAGCCCAGCTCTAGCCGGGGAGGGTGGGGTATAAATAAAATGTATTATTATTATTATTACATATGGGGAGAGGAAGTAGGGTTGTCCTTGCTGTCACATTTAGTAGGTGATAGTAGGGGACGCAGGTGGCGCTGTGGGTAAAAGCCTCAGCGCCTAGGGCTTGCCGATCGTAAGGGCGGCGGTTCGAATCCCCGCGGCGGGGTGCGCTCCCGTTGCTCGGTCCCAGCGCCTGCCAACCTAGCAGTTCGAAAGCACCCCCGGGTGCAAGTAGATAAATAGGGACCGCTTACTAGCGGGAAGGTAAACGGCGTTTCCGTGTGCGGCTCTGGCTCGCCAGAGCAGCGATGTCACGCTGGCCACGTGACCCGGAAGTGTCTCCGGACAGCGCTGGCCCCCGGCCTCTTGAGTGAGATGGGCGCACAACCCCAGAGTCTGTCAAGACTGGCCCGTACGGGCAGGGGAACCTTTACCTTTAATAGTGATCTCCGTGCCACGAAACACTTCATCCTGTGGATTTTGGCAGCTCAGCCCACTGTTCACACTACACAAGAACACCTTGGGGAAGAGGCGGCAGATCCCTAGAATCTGATCCAAGCAGATCCATGTGAGTTGCTTGCTTTGGCATACCTAGGTTAGGTATAGGCTAATCATCACCACGCCCTAGATTTGTGCATTACCTCTGCTCTGGGATGTAGGCGAGACCACTCCTGTTCCCAGCTTCCTTGCAAATCCCACCTAGAGCCGGCCATTGTGCAGCTGGTCTACCTCCCCTTTCCTGTAGGTGGAGTTTCCCTAGGAAATGGCCTTGGCAGGAAGCTGCAGGGCGAAGTCTGCATTTCTAGGGGGGCAGAATACACACTCTCTGCTCTTTCCAAGCCCCCAGCTCAGGGGGGGTTGAGCGCTAGCAAGAGAAGCAATTGTACAATCGCTGGCGTTATCTGGAGAGTCTGATTTTCCTGCAGCGAGAAAGGTAGAAATGGATCTTGCCTCTAAGAAAGGCTTTGTGTTCTTTTGGAGTCTTTAGGATAGTCAACTTTCAGACTACAGAGGGGTTGAAATTTGCAATGCCACCATTCAGAAGAATGTCCTTGGCATTATGTGTTCCGATATTGTGCTCTTTTTTTCTGATGGATTGTCAGGAAGTTTCTACAATCACCATGCAGTATCAGATTCTGGAGGAAGTACAGCCTGGGACTGTTGTGGGAAGGCTGTCGGAAGAAATTGGCCGGACAGAGGGCAGCTGGGGAACTTTTCAGCTGCTTCAGTCTTCTGTGGTGTTTCCTATACAGATGGACTCTCAAGACGGTTTGCTGAGCACCACAGGGAGGCTGAACAGGGAGCAGCTCTGCCACCACAGAGACCCGTGTGTCCTCTCATTCAGCGTTCTAGCGGCCCAATACTTCACCCTGATCCATGTGGAGATCCACGTCTTGGACATCAACGACAATGGGCCTCGGTTTCCTCAAGCGGCACTGGAGCTGGAGATATCTGAAAGTGTATCCTTACAGACTCGAATCCCTTTGGGCCGAGCCCTGGACCCAGATGCTGGCTCTAATGCTTTCTGTTCCTACTTCTTGTCACCCAGTGAGCACTTTGCCTTAGAGGTCACAGCCGGTTCTGACGGAACTCAGCAGGCAGAGCTGGTGGTCATTAAAGAAGTGGACCGGGAGCTCTACT